AGCCGTTATATTAGGGCCTGTACGACGTGGACCTACATAGGCATTGTTTGTCATTAGCCATTACCATTTCAAATTCGAAACTTGAAATAAACGGTGAATAATGTAGCTAAAATCATCAAAATATGGTATATAGGGAGGCACGGTTATATCGGAGCTGTGCGAAGACCTGGACCAGCATAGACAATTTTCTGTCACAGGCTGTAGCAACTATTATGAACTTTAAATACGACATCTCAAACAATTTCGGTGGGTATTGCACCTAAAATCGTCAAAATACCGAATATAGGGAGGTACTGATGTATGGGGTCTATACGAAGACCTGGATCTGCATAGACAATTTTCTGCCACTGACTGTAGTTCTTATAAAGAACTTTAAATACGTAATTTGAAACAATTCTGGTAAATAATGACGCTAAAATCATCAAAATACCGAATATAGGAACGTACCGTTATATGGGGGCTTTACGAAGACGAAGACCTGCACAGACAATTTTCTGTCATAGGCCGTAGTATCCACTACGAACTTCAAATACCAAATTTGAAACAATTCCGTTAAATAACGTCGCTAAAATCATCAAAATACCGAATATCGGAAGGTATCGTTATATGGGGGCTATATGAAAACGTGGACCTACATGGCCCATTTACGAACTTAACATGTCTACTAAAAAAATAAACATGTGTGCAAAATTCTAGCCTTCTATCTCAATTCGTTCGAAATATAGCGTGATTACAACAGACAGGCGGACAGACAGACGGACATCGCTAAATCGACTTCGAATTTTACGCTGATCAAGAATATATATACTTTGTTGGGTCTGAGAGTTTTATTATCTCACTCTGTATAGCGCCCATATAACGGACGTATGAAAGTTGAATATTGTTAAGCCAACCACAGATAACTCGAAATATAGAATTACAGCTGATTTGGTTGGAAATTGTTTAAAAAACATTCAAAGTACCAACAATCTTGGCTTGCATTTTATGGCGGAGATCATGTTCCAAAAAAACTAAATTTTCATTAAAAAAGTAACATAGAATACGTCTGAAGACACTGTGCTTGTCTTCCTAAAAATATTGACATCCAATAATTCCCAAAAATTAAAAAAACACCAATAACATAAGTTCATCATTCAAGGACTCGTAGAATTTGGCATCCATCAAAAAGTGAAACAATTTTGCCTATTATAATAATGAAAAAATATGTTATTTGAAATTGTTTGGATTTTTTCTTCCGCCGTCTTTGTTTTGTTTCGTCTCAAGAAAGTAAACAAATTTTCCTTTTTGCTGGAGTTCATTCACTCATTCATTCATTCGTTTTTTTTTTTCAATGCCCAAATCAATGTCATTTGCAATTTACATCCAGTAGTCAATGTATAGAGGTTTTGCAACCGTCCATGGCCCTTGGACTAGGCAGCTGTATATATGAAAAAAATAAGTAAATAAATAATGGTGAAACATATTTATTATATTTGTCTGTTTTTGTGATGTTTATTAAAAATGTAATAAAATCAGATTATTAAAAAAATACAAAATCGTTTAGAATGTTTTTTTTTTGTGAAAAAGTTGATTGTTGTTATATCAACATTCCTATTTTCCTGTAATAAGTATTGTAGATAATGATGTCGATGACAATACAATTAACCTGATTTTTTTTTTTTTTTTTTGTATATTACATTCTTAATTAATTTAATTAATTTTGATTATATATTTATCCAAGTAATATTACCTTGACCTTAGCCGTTGAACGTTTCCATGTAAACAAATCCCTCCCCCCTTAAATTGATAATAATTTGAACACACCCCCTCCCTTTGTGTGTTTCATTTATTTTTGTTTATGTTTTCATTGATTGATTGATTCTTTTTTGATATATATTTTTTTTCTTTCATTGTGGATTATGAAATAAATATATGTACACACAAAAATAATTCGAATACTGGAGAAGGTGATGGATACGTAACTGTTGATATATGGACAAGTGAATAAATCTATGTCAATGTCAAATCAATCTAATTTATTAGTTGCATTACGACAGAAAATATAATATGAAATGGATAGAACATATGTCGAAGCTTTAGATATGACAGAAAAGAGGGTGGGCAATGTGTGAATTATTTGGTAATTATTACAAAAATATGCTAGAAATATTTCCAAAGGCAGTTCCCGATTGGCTTCGAAATGAATCCCAGCAAAAACTCCCAAAATTAAATAATGAATTTTCTATCCAACTCAAACTTAGATCGAGATCGGAAATGGGCAATATAGGTAACTCTCCACAAAAGGTCAAAATTTTCAAAAAAAAAAAAAAAAGAATTTACTGCACAGAAAAAGAATATATGATCCGATTTTGCCCCAACTTGGCAAATTCTAATACTTGCATCAGTGCTAGGTTATGTGAGAAAATGGACAATGTCGGTCCACTCCATCAAGTACCAAAGGGTAAAACTTTTAAATAATAATAACTCTTATAAAATGTGGTGTAAGTGTCTGATTGTCTTCAAACTATACACATCACAATATTTTTATTAACCGAAGGTCTGGTGTGATTATGGAATGTATCGGTATCTCCCCACACAAGCTCATAAAACGCGAAATTAACATCCGATTCCATTTAGACTTGGCACATCTCAATATTTCAATAAACACAGGATCTGTTAAAAAGACGGTAAAGACCCGACCATTCCCTCTGGTACCTCCTTCACAAAGCATCAAAGTTTTGAATAACCAAAACATCCGAAATCCGGAAAATACAGGGTGAGATAAAAAACTGCAACAAAGTCGAACGACATAATTTTTACCTTTTTTTAATTTTATTGCATGAAAGCAAAAAATGTCGGAAATAGCATCAAATTTTAGAATAAGATTATATTTGTTCGAATTGCTCACCTTTGGCTCGAATTATGGCGTTTAAATGGCCAATGCATCCGTCACACGCTGCCCGAATGTTGGTCTGCGGTATTTTGACACATTCCCGGCGAAGCGCTTGCTTGAGGTGAACGACATTTTGGTATTTTGTAGTGCCAACCTTGCTTTCCAAAATACTTCAGACACAATAGTACAGCGAAATAGTATCCATTCTTGGATTTCGCGTGCTGAGTGCGATGGTGCGGAGTCCTGTTCGAATGTCCAAGGTCTGCGGCCAAAATGTTTGCGTGCCCAAGGCTTTAATACACCCTGCAGAATATTTTCGCGGTAATACTCGGCATTTATTCTGATGCCTCGGTCGATTAATGCGAGCGGAGATCAACCATCGGCTGTTATGCGGCCCACACCATCACCATTGCCGGCGCTTGAGTTTTGGTGGCCAACCGAAAGTGCACATTTTCAGCTGACCTCTTTGTCAAGTAAACACAATTATTTTGTTTATTTACAAGTTGCTGGACAACGAATGTTTTCTCATCGGAGAAAACCGAACTCGGCAGTTCACCTGTTTCGGCCTAGCGAAGCAACTCTTTAGCTCTTTAGAGTCTATTTTCTTTCTGCGGCGAGTTGCGGTGTAAGTCCTTGCACTTTTTGGAATTTCAATGGCTTTACCCCGAGCTCATTTTTCAATATTTGCCGAATGGTATATTGCGATATGTTCAGTTCACGAGCCATTTTTCAGTCACTGCGATGCGGGCTTCGGTCAAGTCGCTTCCTTATTTTTAGAACCATTTCTGCTGATGTTGCTGTTTTCTTCCGTCCACATCCTTGACGTCGGGATATGCTACCAGTATCACGGTAACGAGCGATGGTACGAGACACAAAAGATTTATTCACATTTAAATACTGGAGTGCTCTAACAATAGCCACTTCTGGTTTTCCAGCCAAATATAAAGAAATCGCACTATCACGCTTGAGTTCCATGGAAAATTCTCACCAAAATGCTTTTCTACGCTTGTAAACAATATAATGAGCTGTCACTGGAATAATTTTAACAGCTGTCGGACGAGTGGCTTAGAAATGACAGCAGTCTGAAGTTGGTTGCAGTTTTTTCTTCCACTCCTTTTGGTGCCTCCCCCACAAAGGGACAAAATTTTGAATATAAAAGAAGCCCATAAAACGTAAAATTAACATCCGATTCTATTCAGACTTGGCACATCTCAATACTTCTATCAACACAAGGTTTGTGATAAAGATGGTGGAGATTGGACCATTTTTTCTGGTACCTCCTCCCCATAGGGTTCAAGGTTTTTCCCCAACGACATCCTTATCTCAGGCGGCTTACCTGCCAACTTCGATTCGCATATACAATTTCAAGATTTAAACCCTATCGGTTAGAAAAACCTCAATGTAGCAAATTAGCACCATTTAGTACTTTTTGTGCAATTAATTTATCCTTTCCGAATTCTAGAATTTGAAAATCAAAATCAGAGAACCAAACAATTCCGTAACACATTTTCGCGATAATATTCAGTCGATTAATACGAGCGGAGAGCGACCATCGGTTGTAATGGCGGCCCACACCACCACCTTGGCTGGCGCTTGAGTTCTGGTGGCCACAATCAAAATCAGAGAACCAAACAATTCTGAAACACTGTGAGCGTCTAAATTTCTAATTTAATCGCAAGCTTAAGACAACCCCATATCTAATTTTCAAGGATAATAGATTCTATAAGCAAGGACAATATTGTAGAACATATCTACCCCCAGAAACACAAGGAAACCATCAACAACAACAACAAAAACAGCCCAACGAGATGATGTTCTGCCTCATAATCGAACAATCTTCAAATCACATTGAATATCCAAACCCAAAAATCATTTGTCACTGACAAGACAAGATATGCCATATGTCCTTCCTGTAACCCTGTAACCTTGGCATCAAAGTTCATATTTCATAAGAGAACAAAGATTACATGTGTGTGTGTGAGAGAGCGATTTATTGATTACACTCAAAAGGGAATAGCATTAATAACATATAAAACAATAATACTTATTACGACTTTATGAACTTACAATCTAAACTAATGCCTATTTGATTTTTCTAATTTTGTTTCTGTTTCTTTATTTTGTCTAGGAATTGGTGGCCATATCACCGGAAAGGCGTAATTGGCGTGGCATATTTATAGCTTTGCTAGTCATAGCAGCTGTCTTTAGTTTAATTATATTTTCAATATTTTTACTATCACCAGGTAAGTTGTTGTTGCAACGGCTCCATCTTTAAATATTTATGTTTCCTGTTAAATGTTTTTGTTTTATTTTTTCTCTCTTTCATTCTCCAAAAAAAAAAAAACAAACATCACTTGGAATTGCCCAGAGGATGAAGCTTTACGCTTACGTGGCGTCAGATTAACATTAAGTGATATTTTAAGTAAACGCTTACAATGGAAACCATTTAATGGTACATGGCATAGTGGTAGGTATTAATTTACGATTTTGATTGATAATGGTTTTTAAGGAGCTGAATTTATTGGTTGTTGTTGTGGAAACAAGTAAGTCACGAAAGTTTTCTTTAGAAGTCACAGAACTTGTCGATAATTTTTTGGGAATTAAATGATAAAATTTTGAATCAACAAAAAAATATATAACCGTAGCCGAACACTACCATGATATAAAAGAATGAAAAAATAACAAGTTCGAAAGTATCAGTCGATTTGCCGTCATAATCTGTCTGTATCATACATAAGAGTTCCATACGTAATTTTAACTTTTTGAGATATAGATGAATTTAAATGTATTTTGGTATGCTCCTGCAGAATTTCAAATATCGTAAATATCTCTTCTAAATTTCGAGATATCCTCATAAAAACGTTAAATTTTAAAGGATTTTCCAGATTTTATATGTACATGGTGAGATGAAAAAACTGCTACCAACTTCAGACTTCTGTCATTTCTAAGCCACTCGTCCGACAGCTGTTAACATTATTCCAGTGACAGCTCATTGTATTGTTTACAAGCGTTCAAAAGCATTTTGCTGAGAATTTTCCGGAAAAACAGTTATTCGTGATGGAATTCAAGCGTTATAGTTGGATTTATTTATATTTGGCTGGAAAACCACAAGGGGCTATCGTTAGAGCACTCCAGCATTTAAATGTGAATAAATCTTTTGCGTCTCGTACCATCGCTCGTTACCGTGATACTGGTAGCGTAGCCCGACGTCAAGGAAGTGGACGAAAGAAAACAGCAACATCAATAGAAATGGTTCGAAAAGTGAAGAAGCGACTTGATCGAAATCCGCGTTGCAGTGGCCGAAAAATTACTTGTGAGCTGAACATATCGCAATATTCAATTTGGCAAATATTGAAAAATAAACTCGGAGTAAAGCCATTGAAATTCCAAAAAGTGCAAGAACTTACACCGGAACGGAAAGAAAATAAACTCAAAAGAGCTAAAGAGTTGCTTCGCTTGGACGAAAGTTGTGAACTGTCGAATTTGGTTTTCTACGTTGTCCAGCAGTTTGTAAACAAACAAAATTATCGTGTTTATGTGCAAATGTGCACCTTCGGTTGCCCACCAGAACTCAAGCGCCGTCCATGGTGATGGTGTGGGCCGCCATAACAGCCGATGGTCGCTCTCAGCTCGTATTAATCGACCGTGGCATCAGAATAAATGCCGAATATTATCGCGAACATATTCTGGAGGGTGTATTAAAGCCTTGGGCACGCAAACATTTTGGCCGCAGAACTTGGACAGTCCAACAGGACTTAGCACAATCGCACTCAGCACACGCCACCCAAGAATGGCTACAAAATGAGGTTCCTTGCTTTATTTCCAGCGCACAATGGTCATCAAAACCTCCGGATATCAATCCGTTGGACTATTCTATCTGGATTATTTTGGAGAGCAAGGATGGCACCAAAAAATACCGAAGTGTCGATCACCTCAAGCAAGCGCTTCGCCGGGAATGGGCCAAAATACCGCAGAGCAATATTCGGGCAGCGTGTGACGGTTTCATTGGCCGTTTGAAAGCCTTAGTTCGTGCCAAAGGTGACCAATTCGAACAAATCTAAATTTATTCTAGCATTTGATGTTATTTCCGACATTTTTGCCTTCATTCAATAAAATTTTAAAAAAAAATGTGAAAATTATGGCGTTTAACTTTGTTGCAATTTTTTTTATCTTACCCTATATATTCTCCATAGTATGGTGGAGGGTATAAAAATCCACGATTTTTGTCAAAGAAGTCCCTTAAAATATGTGTTCTTTTATATTTATATGCAAATATTAAAAAAAAAAAAAAAAAAAAAAAACACATTAATTCTGAGACCGAAAATTTTGACAAATATAATAAAAATCTACGATTCTTAGTCTAGAAGTTCTTGTAGACATAGTCTTCCAAACTCTAAGCCCCTAGTTTGCCTTTTTATGAGAAATACTTTTTTTTCCAAATTTAAAGCAAATCCGGTTGTAAGATACGACTAAAACCCCTGTGACCTAAAAACCTTTATGTATAAATTTATAACCCTCGTCGTTTCATTCGAAAGAAAAAGTGCTTTCCACAGACGAGCATGGCTGAAACAATCTAGAATTTTATGCTGATAAAAAAATATATATTCTATGTAGGGTCTAAAGTAGTTATTTCCAGGAGTTACAAAAATAATATGCCCTCCATAGCATGGTGGACATAAAATATAAAAGTGTCGGCAAAACCGGCTGATATAGTCTAACTTGTTTTTCAACCTAAAATGCACATACATGATTGCTGTTGGAGATCATTTGATTTTCCCACACAACAACCACAATAAAATTCTCAAATTATTTGCCATAATTTTGTAATTTTAATTTTTCAATTGTCATTATTATCTCTTTGTTTCTACTCTCTCTCTCTCTCCCCCTCTTGCAGACAATGAATTAGTTTTTCGAGATCCCACTGGCGGTCTGTCTATATTAAACTTAGAGAACTATACAACACGTGTTTTAATGACCAACTCATCATTTGTAAGTTTCTTTTCTTTTTGATTTGCGCCATTAAATGGCTAAATAATAGAATGAAAATTGAAACAACAACAACAAATTGATAGTTTTTCCCACTATTGTTTGTTTATGTTTCAACAAATTCACAAGCATGCAAAATTTCAAATAATGTTTTGGTTTTTGCTTTTACAGAGGCAATTGAATGCTGAATCATTTTTAGTAGCACCAGATCTGAAATACGTTCTGCTGCAATCCGATAGCAGTGCGGAGGGATCAAGGTAAGTAAAGCGATAATGGAAATGGCCAAGAAAGAATGAGATAAACGAAAATATTGCAATTTGGCTAAAAACCAGACACCGACAAACAACCAACCCCACGTTCGAATAGAATCGATATAAAATTTTTCAAATAACTCTCCATTTGTTTATTAGGAGCTGTATAAACACACAAACATACACACCATATCGGTTTTTTGTCTGTCCACATGGCATTAGAATAGATGATATAAATTGTCCAATAAATGAAAGAGTGTGTGGTGGAGGCTTATGAGCATCGTCGTACTTAGTGTAATTGTTTCTGTTCTTGATGTTTTTAAAATATTAAATAGGAAAATAAAAATCGTTTGATCTTTTTTTTTCAAAACAGCTACTGGAAGTCATTTGATCTACACGTTCAACGATTATTTTTTATTTATTTATTTATTTATTTATTTATTTTTTTTTTTTTTTTTTTGAATTTTGAAATATTTAATTTTTGGGTATTTGCGGAATAAGTATAGAAATTACGAAGTTATTGGTAAACACTTCATTGTAGTGTTAACAAGAAAGAAGAACTTTAGGAGGTTATCTATAGACAAAATATATTTAAGATGTCGTTAAAGCAAAATTGAGAAGTTTCCTTCATATAGAATACTCTTGAGAGGTATTCTGATTAGAGTAAAAAATTCAACGGGTCTCCAAGTTAGAGACACATTTGAGTCCTTAGAGAAACCTAATACCTTTGAGAGTCCTTGTGAGAGGTCCTCAAGGGAAAACCCCAATTGATTATGAAACTAATGCTAAACAAGTGAAAAAGCAAGTTCGGCCGGCAAAACTTTGAATACTCTCCACCATTTGGAAAGAATTTGGACATTTTCAAAAAAAACAGTAAAGAAAGTCTTAAAGTCGGGCGGGGCCGGCTTTATGATACCCTACACCACTTTGCTAATTTAGTAGAAGCATTTGTATCTTTTAAATTCAGACTTGTATTGTCCATTTGGTGCACATCTAATTTGAAATCGGATAAAGATATATATGGGAGCTATATCCAAATCTGAACCGATCTTGATATATTTTGGCAAAGATATTTCTGAGCTGTATTTGATATATTTCCTTGAATATCGTTGTTACGGAGTACATATTACGGCTGTGGGTAACAAATATAACAAATCGGATGAACAGTATATATGGGAGCTATAGCTATATCTGAACCGATCTTCACCAAATTTGACATACTAGCTTCTAGACTCAATTCGATCGTAAGTGCCAAATTCCATCCCACTTGTACAAATATTAGACGTTTGGTGCAAAATAAAAGGTAAATCGGACGAAGTTATATATGGGAGCTATATCCAAATCTGAACCGATCTCGATAAAATTTTGCAAATTTATTTCTGAGCTGCATCTGATATATTTCCCCAAATATTGTTTTTACAGAGTGCATATTACGGCTGCGGAAGACAAAAATAACAAATCGGATGAACAATATATATGGAAGCTATAGAGCTATATCTGAACCGATTTCGATCAAATTTGGCATACATATTTTCAGGCCTAATTTGGTTGTATTTACAAAATTCCACACTATTCGGGCTGATATTACACGTTTGGTGCACAATATCGGACGAAAATACATATGGGAGCTATATCTAAATTTTGACCGATTATCTCCAATTTCAATAGGGTTCGTCCTTGGGCCAAACAAATGATTTGTGCAAAATTTCATCTTGATAGGTCAATAAATGCGAACTGTACTTTGTTTACAAAAATACATGGACAGACGGACTGACGGACATGCATAAATCGACTCAGAATGTGATTCTATGCAGATCATCAAAATGGAACTATGTTACAAACAAATGCACAAAGACATAATACCCTGACCACCTTGTGGTGTAGGGTATACAAATATATAAAAGGAATCCGTTATAAATTCTCTTAAAAGGGAGTTACCGTAATTTTGCGATCTATAGGAAGACGTGGACCTGCAATTTTCTGTCACAGACAGTAGTGCCCATTACGAAGTGCAATAATGTAGCTAAAGACATCAAAATACCGAATATTGGGAGGTACCGATATTTAGGGGCTATAGACAATTTTCTTTCACAGGAACTTAAAATACGAAATTTGAAATAATTCCCGTGAATAAAGTCGCTAAAATCATCAAAATACCGAATGTGCAGGTGCTATACGAAGACCTGGTCCTGCATAGATTATTTTCTGTTATAGACAGTAGTACATATTAGGAAATTTAAACACGAAATATGAAACAATTCAGCCATTGTATAATGTCGCTAAAATCATCAAAATATCAAATATAGGGAGGTACAGATATATGGGGGCTATACGAAGACCTGCATAATTTTTTTTCTCTCATAGACTGTAGTCCCTATTAGGAAATTTAGCTACGAAATTTGAAACAATTTCCGCGAATAAAGTCGATAAAATCATCAAAATACCGAATATAGGGAGGTACCATTATATGGGGGCTATAGGAAGACCTGCATAGACTGTAGTACATATTAGGCAACTCAAACAAGAAATATGAAACAATTCAGTCATTGTATAATGTCGCTAAAATCACAAAAATACCGAATATAGGGTGGTACAGATATATGGGGGCTATACGAAGAAAAGGAAATTTAGACACTAAACAATTCCGATGAAAAAATGTCACCAAAAAACAAAAAATACCGAATATAGGGAGATACAGTTATATGGGGCCTATACCTAAACGTGGTCCTATATAGGAAAATTTCAAAACCAAAACCTGCAGGCGGAACACACATTTGACTAAAATTTTATCAACCTACTTCAATTCGTTCGGAAGCTAGAGTAATTTCCACAGACGGACGGATAGTCATCGTTAAATCGACATAGAATTTTCTGTTGATCAAGAATATATATACTTTGTGGGGTCTAAAATGTATATTTCGAGGTGTTACAAACCGTATGGCAAACTTAATATACCCTCCATACTATGGTGAAGGGGATTAAAAAGAAGACAATTTTTTACGGTGCTGTTGTAATACACGAACGTCTTTTATTTTTACCTAATTTTTATAAAATAAAAAATTATCCCATACAAAATAATCGATCCAATTTGTTTCTTTCCTTTACCAGACACAATGTCTACGAAGTGCAAACAGCCAACGTTTTCCCCTTGGGACCAACTGAAAATATTGCCGAAGCTCCACGTCTGCAGTATGTTTTATGGGCACCCTATAATGCTTTAACTCCCAACAATAATGGCAATGGAGTTGATAGCGGCAGCAGCAACAATACACCATCCTCTGTCATACCAACGGCTAGTGCAGCGGCTGCAACACCAACAACTTCTCCAACACCTACAAGTAGTATTCTCCTCAGTAGTTTAGCCAATGGTGCCGTAAATATGGCAGCAAATTTAGTTAAACCACCACCACCTATACAGTTGCAACAACAACAACAGCAGCAGCAACAGCAACAAAATCCCCAACAATTATTACAAAATAATCGAGCTCTGGCCCAAAATCAGGCCATAGCATTTGTTCACGAGAATGACATCTACTATAAGCCCAAGGTGCAGGGCGAACTGGTGTGTCGAATAACAAAGACAGGTAAGTGAACCGATTAAATAACTCATAAAATGTAGTTTAGATGTATTTATTTTTTATTTCAGGCCAGCCAGGTGTAATATACAATGGCATACCTGATTGGACGTATGAGAATGTGCCCGAATTGGACAGTCGCGGCAGCAGCATGGCCTTCTCTCCGGATGCTCTGTACTTGGCATTTCTGACATTTAATGACAGTGAAGTTAGTGAGTACAAGTAAGTTATTGTTCGAAGCCTACGACCCGAATGCTCACGTCGCACATCACAAAGCGAACAAATGGCTTATTTTTTTCAAAGAGAATGAGACATCTCAGAAAATTCAGTCAGTCAGTCAAATATTAGTAAAACCATTGCACAATGGACCCATTTCCAAATTTTTTGTCTAAAACTATTTCAACGTCTCCATATGTAAACTCTAGAAACCCACAGTGACCTCAATATCAAATTTCAGAATTTCAGCTCGATCCCTAAATCGAATTTAATAACATTTAGTACGCTTATGCAAAACAATCTACATCTCTTCATCCTGGACTCCAAGAGTTATCCAAAATTAGTACCATTTAGTGAGTTCCCTACCATTTTTGTATTCATTGCAAAACCGTTTGATACCTCAATACCAAAAGTTATCGTAAAATACAATTTCATGGTTTCAGCTCTATCCCTAATTTAGAACTTTTCGAACAGCTAAAGTAAGGATTTCCCAACCGACCTCCAAATCTCAACTTCAGATACCATCAGTTATATAAATATCATATTTAAGAATTTAATCACTATCCCTTTAATTAATACCAAATTTTGTACTACTTACGACTTTTTCGTAAAATTGTAACAAACAATTCCAAAATCACATCCATATCTCAATTCCAAATACCAACAGAGAGACCTCAATATCAAATTTGAGGATTTCGATTCTATTCCTTCATTCAATGTCTCAATTTAGTACCATTTAGTAGATTTCGTACAAATAAAGTACGCATTTCCAAACCACTGCCAAATCTCAAACACAGATACCATAAGTAATCGAAATATCAAATTTGCGAATGTTATCTCCATCTCTTTTCATAAAATTCTGGTACAAATTTCCGAAACCACCTCCAGAGGAACATTGACCCTAATTCCAAATTTAGTACATTCCGAAAAAGATCTACATATCCCTTACCTACACTCCGACATTATTTTATTTTCACTTTTCAGAATACCGGCTTCGTTGGTTTACCCAAATCCAAATTGTACCGATTTTAGTACCATTTAGTACACTTAAGAACAATTTTTCATAACTACCTACATTAAACAGTCCAATAGAGATCTTATTTTAAAATTCCAGCACACAAAAATTTAAATTGTACCAAATTTAGTACCATTTAGTACAGATAAATACGAATTTCCAAAACTACCTACATTTTTCAGTCCTAGAATGTATAAGTAATCTTTTTTCGAAATTTCAGAATTCCAGCTCTATCGGTTCACCTAAATCGATCCATTTCACCCAAATTAGTACCATTTAGTACATTTCGTCCACAGAAGTCCACATTTCGAAAACTTCTTCCATATCTCAATCCTACACTCCGCCAGTAATTTTTATTTAAAATTTCAGAGGTCCACAGAAGTACACATTTCGAAAACTTCTTCCATATCTCAATCCTACACTCCGCCAGTAGGGTTTATTTAAAATTTCAGGATTCCAGCTCAATTTTTTGCTCCAAATTCAAATTGTCCTAAATTTAGTACCGGTTAGTACATAAGTACACACTTCCAAGACTACCGCCTTACAACGACTCTACTCATCAACCTTGATTCCCGTTCCAAATTTCAAGTTTTAGCTCTAACCTTTCACATGATACGAAATGGTATGAAATATACATTTTTGTACTTTTCGTACATTTATAGTGCGAATTTCCGAAAACCTTTTGGTACATCTATCATACACTTCATTGGTGACCTTCACTCCAAATTTAAGAGTTCTAGCTCTACTGCTTCCTCAAATACATAGGTTAACATATTTAGTACCGGTTAATACTTTTCGTATCGTTCCGAAAAATCAACCTTATCGGACCCCTTCGGACCAAAATTTCAAGATTCTAGCCTCAGCCGTTTCGTCGGTGCGTCGATGAATCGTAAGTCCGTCAATCAATCAGTATTTAGTATCTTTTGATACTTTTCGTACCGTTCTAGTACGAATTTCCAAGTTATTATTAATTCTTCATTTTCATACAAAGAGTATTGAGGTCCTGGTCTAATTCATATAACTCTCTCTCTCTCTTCCTCTGTCTCGCTCTTTCATAACCCCCTTCTTTGTCTTTTTTTTCTTGCAGATACACTTGGATGGGCGATGATCTTAAATATCCAGCTGTGCTGACACAACGCTATCCCAAAGCCGGTTCTATCAATCCCAATATTACTGTCAATGTCGTCAATCTTTCCGTCCTTAAGTATATTTTTCCCACACAAATCAAACTCCCAGCTGAACTGAACAATGGCAGCTATATAGGCGGTCTCACCTGGGCTACACCCATCGATCTTTCGGTCATAGTTACAAATCGTGGCCAGACAAAGGCCACCACGGTCATATGTCGGGCACCAGAGTTTCATTGCAACATCGCCCACACTGAGGTGACGGTCAACGATGGCTGGGTGCTGCCCAACGAAAAACCGATTTTCTCCAAGAAACACAATAGTCTTCTCAAGAATCTGAACAGCAATCAAACGCTGGGCAACGAAAACTTCCAGAACATAACGAATGGCCAAACAACCTATGAGATAACCAATGGTGGTTATTTGCTGAAACGTCTTCCGGTGCGCGATGGTGAACATGGTCACTTCCGGCATGTTGTGTTCACCTCATCGCTGGACAGACGTGCCGTACCCCTAACCATGGGCCGTTTCGAGGTGACCGAACTTGTCGGTTGGGATGAGGACAACGAAATCGTCTACTTTATGGCTGCTCCTGAGAAGCGTCCCGGCGAGAGGCACCTCTACAAGATCAGCCTTAAGTTGAATGTAACGAAAACCAATCGCACCTACATTACCTCATCGCAACCCACATGTCTCACATGTGACAACACTCCCTCGACGTTTAGGCTGCGAAATGGACGAGCCGCAATGGAGCCCGAAGATGTGGATGAAGATGAGAGAGATTTAGTCTATGTTATACCCAAGAATTGTCTCTACAACAAGGTGTATTTCAGCAAAGATTTCTCGTATTATGTCCAGGAATGTCTGGGACCAGAATCGCCCAGTGTTTATCTCGTTGAGACACAAACGAATTTAAAGACCATGGTCTTGAATGCCGGTGATAGTTTAAGAAATCGTCTGATGCAGTATGCATTGCCACAGATACGCACATTCAATGTGGAAATACGTCATGGTTTCCATGCCCAGGTGAAGCTCTTTTTACCGCCTGGCATGAAGGAGGATGAGGAGGTGGCCTTTCCATTGATATTGCAAATGTAAGTGGAAGGGGAGGAGGACGGGGTCCAACAGAAAAAAACTCTAACTGATATCTCTCATTTTACAGCGATGCTTCACCTGGCTCCCAGCTGGTTAGTGAACGTTTCCAGGTCACATGGAACTGGTATTTGAGCAGTCAACGTTCCTTTTTGGTGGCCCAGATTGATGGTCGCGGCAGTGGCTATCAAGGTGAACTTTTGCGCACGCAAGTGCATGGCAAACTGGGTACAGTGGAGATAGAGGATCAATTGGCAGTCCTAACGTAAGTATTGCAGAAAAAAAAAACTATTTTAAAATAAAAAAAAAAAACCAGCCAATAATGAACATTTCGTTTTAGATACTTGCGTGATAATTTGAAATTCATTGATCCGTCACGTATCTGTGCTTATGGCTGGGGCTATGGTGGCTATGCCACTGCAATGACTCTCATCGATGATTCCCAGCAAGTGTTGCAGTGTGGTGTGGCCGTGAATCCTATCTCATCATTTGCCTATCACTGTAAGTGGCTTAGTGTGTGTGTGTGTGTATGTGTGTTTTGTTAAACGATAACGTTTTCTTTTATCTGCCATCAGATTCATTCTTTACGGAACGTTATATACCCTTGAAGGGTGACTATTTACGTGCTCTGCAAGAGGCTGATTTAACAATGAAAGCTGGCAACATAAAGGGCAGAAATCTCATGTTAATACATGGCACAGCGGATACCTTAGTGCATCAGGACCATACGCTAATGCTGGTTAAAGCTTTAGTGGATCAAGAAGTGAAATTTAGACATCAGGTAAAATATAAAAACGGCAGAAATAAAAGATTAAAACTGACTGTTTGATTCATGAACGACCAGACGAAACGGCTAAAGCTAGATTATTGAAATTTTGCATGTGTGCGAATGTTAGCGGGTAGTGGTTCGGTAAGGCCGATGTTTTTGAAATTCGCACTAGAAGTACTAAAAACAACTAACCTTCGTTCCTTCTGGTATTTTGAGAACGGATACTTTTAAAATCTGGTCATTTGGTATAAAAGTTAAGTTTGGAAAATATGTACTAAGTGTCACAATTGTACTAAATGGTACTAAATTCGATACAATTTGATTTTGGTCGAAATTAAAATGTTGGTATTGGGGTATCCGTTGCTGGTGTAGGGTTTCTATAAAGAGTTGGTTTTGCAAATTCGTTTAGCAAGCCATAAAAAATTTAGTACCTTTCCTACGGTTGCGCGAACGGATATTGCTTAAAATCTGAACAAGAACGTTATGATCCCTTTAACTGTTTAGGATTGAACTTTGGAGGTGGAGGTGGTTGGAAATACGTACGATTGAGTTGGAAGTCTAAAATTTGGCATTCGGATCACGCTTTGTGCGATTTGGTTGATATATGGCGCTGGATTTGAATATAAGTTCTAAAAAAGTACGAACAGTACTAAATAGTACTAGCTTTGGTAATGGGGGAAGGGATAGAGCTGGAAACTATATTTGGTATTAGGTGAAGGGATAGAGATGCAATTCAGAAAATTGATACAAAGACTAAAAATGGTGTCTGTATATGAGATGTACAAAAAGTACTAAATGGTACTAAATTTGATATTGATTGAAGGGATAAATTGGAATTCTTAAATTTGACATTAAGGCTATTATTGGTATCTGGAATTGGTAGTAAACTTGGTATTATCAGAAGGAATAGAGATAATATTCTGGATTTTGATATTTAGGTTACTAAAGGGATCTGTGGTTAAAATATGGAGGTGATTTTGAAAATGTTTACTATAATTGTACGAAAAGTACTAAATTTGGTATTGGTATTGGAAGGAATAGGACAGGAAGACTTGAATTTGATATTAAGGTCATTGTGGTATCTGAAAATGAGATATGAAGGTGGTCTTGGAAATTTGTACTATAATTGTACGAAAAGTACTAAATAGTACAACATTTAGTACTGAGTAAAGGGATAGGGCTGAAATCTTAAAATTTAATATTGAGGTGCTTTTGGTATATGGAATTGAGATATATAGGCGGTTTTGGAAATGTGTACTATAATTGTACGAAAGTTACAACGTGGTACTAAATTGGGTATTGGGTGAAGGAATAGAGCGAAATTCTTGAAATTTGATGTAGATGTCACTGTTGGTGTCTGTGGTTAAGAAATCAAGGTGGTCTTGGGAATGTATATATATTGTACGAAAAGCACTAAATGGTACTAAATGTAGCACTGAGTGAAGGGATACGGCTGGAATCCTCAAATATGATATTGAGGCGTTATTTGGTATCTGGAATTGAGATATGTAAGTGGGGAAATGAGTACTATAATTGTACGAAAATTACTATGTAGTACTAAATTGGGTATTGGGTAATGGAATATATATGAAATCCTGAAATTTGATATTGATATATCTGTTTTAATTGGTACTAAATTTGTTAATTAAAAAAATTACAGAAATGAAATCCATCCTGACAATTGATATGAATATCACTGTTGGCGTCTGTAGTTGAGAAGAATGTGGTTTTGCAAATCCATACTATATTTGTTCGTAAAGTACTAAAAAGTACAAAGTTTGGATCAATGTTGGTGTCTAGGATTGAGAGATGTAGATTGTTTTCGAAATGCGTACGTAAACCCGAAGAATGTATAATAAATTGAAAGTCTGAAAGTTTAATTGTACATTTTGAGTACTAAAAAAGCCTAACGCAATTTGATGGAACGAATCCAAAAAATTTAAAGTTGACTTTTCGCTGACGAAGTAGTGGGCACTTATTTGAATATTAAATTTGTTTGAATCTACAAATGGTTATAAATTAGACAGCTACAAATCATATCTTTTAAAACATGTTTTACATTTACACCATATTTTTCTTGCAATTATGACTCACAGCCCTATTATGTATTTATTTTTTCTTTCATTCAAAACAGGTCTACCCTGATGAGGATCATTTAATGTTGAAATCTATATCTCATGTCTACCAAACCATGGAATGGTATTTTGAAGAGTGTTTCGGTCCCAATGAGGATGGTGAATGGGATCCAACCGGACTGTTTGTGTTCAAACAATAATTGTTAATGTTAGAAACCATTTAAATTTTTTTTTGTAACAATTACAATTTTAGTAACTAATTAGAAAATTTTAATTGATTTTTATATTAAAAAGGCAAAAGTAAGAAAAAAATTAACTAAAACTATATAACATAACATAAATAACAAGAAAAAAGTGAGACGATAAACTACATGTTAACAAAGAAAGTGCGCAAAAATATTCGGCGGTGCCTAATTGAAAAAGCGAAAAAAAAAATTAATTTCAATAGCCTTCCTAATTTTTGTGGCAGATTTCTCATGTCCCCTGGAAAATATATCAGCCTAAATAACACTTTTCTGAGGGGGTTTTATTTTTTTAGTGGGCACCTCCGCGTATCCTACACAACGGCAGCAAAAGCGAAAAACAAAATATAACCACATAAATGAACAAAAGAAGCAAACGTGATGAATTCATTATTTTTTATTGTATGACTGAGTAAATTTAAAACAAAATCACACACGCAGAGACACATGATATATTAATTATAAACTTACATATGTGTACTTATAGATTTATATGTATATTTATGAGATTAATATTTAATTTTTGTTTGATTGTTTTTTTTTTCTTAAATTTTGTTACTCTTAAAGAGCATTTAAAACGTGTTAGTGTGTGTAATTATATATGTATATATAAAAAAGATTTGTTATATATTTGTTATATTTAAGTTGTTGATTATAGTTTTTAAATAATATTTTATAAGAAACTATATAAATGATATTAGAATAGATGTAATAATATTTTTATTCTTTTTTTTTAATTTGAAATAATTTGTTGCCATACATCTTGTTTTTATTTTGAATTAAACCCGGCATTTCAGAATCGGGATTCCTGGTCAATTTTTTAGCACATTATTCTTCTTTCCTGGACAGGTAACCTCTTATGCTTTCCTTGTGTCTTATTTTTTTAACAGCATAGCCTGGTAACCTTGTATATTTAATAGTTATTCTCTAGATCATGGAGATCCATGGATTGTATATATTCGTCTCTTAATGTGCACGGTCTATTCGTGTCATGAGAAGGCACCCTGTTGCAGTTCTCAATCGCAATTCTGAGAGGTCTAAATATTTCACCAAAGTCATACCTACCACAAATAGTTTTTCTTTCCCACATCCCAAGTAAGACGAGGACAGGTGCCAATCAGAAATTGTGACTTTTCAGTCATAAATGCCATAAATAAAGTGGAGGGTATATTAAGTTCGTCTTTCCGTTTGTAACTCATCGAAATAACTTTAAACCTAACAAAGTATATATATTCTTGATCAGTGCAAAATTCTAAAGCGATATAGACCTGTCCGTCTGTCACGCAAAACAAATTAAGATAGGAAGCTAAATTTTTCCACATATCAGTCTTTTGTGTGTAGGCAGGTCAAGTTCGAAGATGGGCTATATTGGTCCACGATATCGTATGGCTCATATAACGGTACCCCCCGATTTTCGTATTTTGATGATTTTAGGCGCATTTTTCATTGGAATTGTCTGAAATTCTACACAAGGAATTCTTCGTGACTAATTTAACTCCTGAAAAAGAATGGTCTATATAGGTCCACGATATCGTATAACCCCCAAATAAGAGTATCTCCCGATATTCGGTATTTTGATGATTTTAGGCACATTTTTAAATGGAATTGTCTGAAATTCCACACAAGGAGTTCTATTATGAGTACTTTATTCCCTGGAAGAGAATTGCCACGATATCGTATAAACCCCATATAAAGGTACCTCCCGATATTCGGTATTTTGATGATTGTAGCCAAATTTGTCAATGGAATTGTCTGAGAGTCCACACCAGGAGTTGCTTCTGAGTTCTTCAGCCCCTGAAAGAGAATTGTCTACATACGTAAACGATATCGTATAGCCCCCATACAATGGTATTTCCCGACATTCCGTATTTTGATGATTTTAGCCACATTTTTCAATGGAATTGTCTGAAAATCCACACAAGGAGTTCCCTCTGAGTACTTTAGTATATTTAGCTCTACTGTATATGTAAAGGGATGTAGGGTATTAAAAAATAATATACAGGGAGAGATAAAAAAAACTGCAACAAAGTCAAACGCCAAATTTATTCTAAGATTAGATTATGGCCTTCAAACGGCCAAAGAATATTGCTCTGCGGTATTTTGGCCCATTCCCTGCGAAGCGAGGAACCTCATTTTGTAACCATTCTTGGGTGGCGCGTGCTGAGTCCTGTTGGAATGTCCAAGCTATGCAGCCAAAATGTTTGAGTGCCCAAGGCTTTAATACACCCTCCAGAATATTTTCGCGATAATATTCGGCATTTATTCTGATGCCACGGTCGATAAATACGAGCGGAGAGCGACCATCGGCTGTTATGGCGGCCCACACCATGACCATGGCCGGCGCTTGAGTTCTGGTGGCTAACCGAAGGTTCATATTTTCAGCTGACCTCTTTGGCAAGTAAACATGATCATTTTTTTTTTTTTTTTGTTTACAAACTGCTGAACAACCAATGTTTTCTCATCGGAGGAAACCAAATTCGGCAGTTCACCATTTTCGGTCAAGCGAAGGAACTCTTTAGCTCTTTTGAGTCTATTTTCTATTTGTTGCGGTGTAAGTTCTTGCACTTTTTTGGAATTTCAATGGCTTTAGTCCGAGCTCATTTTTCAATATTTGCCGAATGGAATATTGTGATATGTTCAGCTCACGAGCCATGTTTCGGCAACTGCGACGCGGGCTTCGATCAAGTCGCTTCTTTATTTTTCAAACCATTTCTGCTAATGTTGCTGTTTTCTTTCGTCCACTTAACGAGCGATGGTATGAGACACAAAAGTTTTATTCACATTTAAATGCTGGAGTGCTCTAACGATAGCCACTTGTGATTTTCCAACCAAATATAAAGAAATCACACTATCACGCTTGAAATCCATCACGATTAATTTCTTTTTTTTTTTTTTTGGAAAATTCTCAGCAAAATGCTTGTAAACAATATAATGAGCTGTCACTTGAAGAAATTTTACGGCTGTCGGGCGAGTGGCTTAGAAATGACGGACCCCAAAATTGTTAAACATAAGAAAAAATCATTGTGTGAAAAATTAATGCATGGGTTCACTTCTTCCAATCCACCCTTCTCGTATATTTTAAATAATAATAATGCGCACTAAGGTCGCACCATATGCCGGCTGATACTTTCTGATTTGTTTTATCAAAAGAGGTTGAAGATGTTTTACATTTTTTATTATTATTTCTATAATATTTGTAATAAACCAGTTAATATAATCATTTTCTACTTCACACATAGAAAAAGAAGCTATGTCTTTGACCGATGCAAACCTTTATAATCGATATAATTTAAAGCTTTACAACTTTTGTATATAATTTTCTTTTGTAACAAAAAAAAAACAATAAAATACATCCGTTAAAAAGTATATCAACATAAGTTTTTGTTGTTGTTGTTTTTTTTTTTTTTTTTGTTTAAATTAAATAATTATTAACAACATATATTAATGTAATTTTTCCATTTGTAGTTATTATTATTATTATTAAATAATGTATTACATTTTTAAATACAACAATAAATTAAAACATTTAAATTTAGACAGAATGAAATAAAACTATAAATTTGATGAAATCGTTTCAAAAAATTTAATGAACAGAAAAGAAGATGTCAACAAAACGTAACAAAAAAAATGGCAAAGCTTTAAATGTTTATAAGTGTGATCTGTGTAGTTTGCTTAACATTTCACAATATATAAGGAAATAAAACAACCAGAACAACAGATAATAGTGACAAAAAAATATATAATATATAAAAATAAATAAAACCACAGTAATAATGTAAATGAAAAGGAACAAAAATGAAAGAAATAAAATTTAAATACAAAAAAAAACATATTCCACCAAATTCTGTTTCATTTGAAAGAAGGAGTTATTTTAAGTTCGTTCGTTTACTTTTCCATCAACATATACTTAATAATAAGTTACTGAGAAAAAAATACGATTCCTTCTCTTGAGAGAGAAAAAAATTGCAAAAAGTAAACGAACACCATTTTGCAAAACATTTGTAAGATAACAGCAGATTCAACTTGGGCGCTAATCTTAGCAGCAGCTACATTTTGATGCAGTTTATTTGTTTTTACATTATCGTTACAAAAAAAATGAAAAATAACCCGTTTCCATGCACAAAGATACCGTCTACAACCAATACCTATTATTCCAGCATCTCCAATTGATGTAAGCATGGGCACTGGTGTTCCACGGATCCAAATTTTGTAGCTGGCTACCTGACACCTAAATGAACAAAAAAAATCTTTTAAATTTTTATCTTTACTTACATTTTATTTATCCATTTTTATACCCTCCATCATAGTATGGAGGGTGTATTAAGTTTGTCATTCCGTTTGTAACACCTCGACACATACAGGATGAGGTTAAAAAAAGTTGCAAGAAAGTCAAACGCCATAATTTTTACATTTTTTCATATAACTGTACCTCCCTACATTCGGTATTTTGATGATTTCAGCTACATTATTCACCAGATCTGTTTCATTTGAAGTTCCAAATAGTGAAGTTCCTATGACAGAAAATTGTCTAGGAAGGTCCAAATCTCGTTATATATTCGTTATTTTGATTATTCAATCGACAGTATTCATCGAAATTGTTTCAAATGTCGTATTTGAAGTTTATAAGGGTTACTACAGCCTATGACAGACAATTGTCTAAATATCGGTACCTCCCTCTATTCGGTATTTTGCTGGTTTCAGCGACATTATTCACCGGAATTGTTACAAATATCGAATTTGAAATTCCTAATGGGTACTTCAGTCTATGACAGAAAATTTTATATGGGGGTCCAGGTCTTCGTATAGCCCCTAAATATCGGTATGTTTCTATATTTGGTATTTTTAAGATTTTATCAGAATTTTAACGGTTTCTATTTTTTTATACCCTCCACCATACATAGTATGAAGGGTATATTAAGTTCGTCATTCCGTTTGTAACTCTTCGAAATAATCATTTTAGACCCAACAAAGAATATGTATTCTTGATCAGCGTAAAATTCTAAGACGATTTAGCCCTGTCCGCCCGCCTGTCCGTCTGTTGTAAACACGCTACAGTCTAAACGTATTAAGATAGCAAGCTAAAATTTTGCACAGATCTCTTTTTTGTCTGCAGGCAGGTCAAGTTCGAAGATGGGCTATATCCACGATATCGTATAGCCCCTATATAACGGTACCCCCCGATATTCAGTATTTTGATGATTTTAGCCACATTTTCCAATAGCCTTGTCTGAAAATACACACAAGGAGTTCTTTGTGAGTACTTTATCCCCTGGAAGATAATTATCTATATAGGTCCACGATATCGTATAGCCCCCATATAACAGTTCCCCACGATATTCGGTATTTTGATGAGTTTAGCCACATTTTTCAAAGGAATTGTCTGAAATTCTACACAAGGAATTCTTTGTGAGCACTTTGCCCCCAGACATAGATTTGTCAATATAGGTCCACAATATCGTATATCCCCCCATATATCGGCAACTTCCGATATTAGGTATTTTAAAGATTTTAAAATAAATTATTGATGGATTTTATTTTTTTTTTAAATTTTCTAATCCGTTCCAAATGGTGGAGGGTATTCAAAGTTCGGCCGGGCCGAACTAACTGTTTTTTTTAATTTCCAAATTAGTTCCAAATGTTGGAAATTATTTTTTTTCTCAAGAAATTAATTTTTCATCCTAGCTTCTTCCAGTTTTGTAAATAAATTTAATTTATTAAAAAAAATAGATTGGTTACATGATTTGTTTGTTTACAAAGCAACTGATTATTGAACAGCTGATGTTGCTGGATAATTCTTACTAGGGAAATATCCCCAATAAGAATTTGCAAACCCTCAGTAACTCAAATGTCAAATGTCTCTCTCATTTCACTCTCACTTACTAGAAGTTTGGGTAAACGAACAGCTTACAATAAAATATTGTAGAAATTATCGAGTTAACGAACACTCCCATTATGCCGTTGGTATTAACACACTCATTTGTCGCCCACCCAGCTAACAACACCATGAGAAAGAGCCAAAATGGTAAAAACTGGGCAAAATGCATTTTCGAGCAATGGTTTGTGTCTAAAATACATAGAGAACCGGTCATGACAGAGGCATGCTAATATATAAAAACCTCAATTACAGAAACGAATGACAAATGAAAGTTTGGAAAAAAAACAAAAATAAAATTTCAAAATTCTGTTCCATAGACCTTTCCAAAAATTTACACATTGCCATAGCAGTTGAAAACAGTTAATATTGGAAACTTTTGTCTTTTACTTTTCCTAAAATAAGGTATAACAAAAGTGGACTATAAAGAACAAAATGTAAGAACGGGCCTATGTATTTGCTTGTAGGTTCTGGAACAGACCAAATACTTGTCATTTTAATGAAATTTCATGAAATGACTCGTTTATGGACGGTAACAGCCATTTAATCTTATCAATATATACATATATATGTATACTACAACGATTAGTTTCACTTGAATTTCACCATCGAACAATTGATTGAAGCTTTGTGTTATTTTGGTTTTAGTTTAGATAGAGACAACAACTCAAGAATTATTGGCAATGGGAAACGAATTATCTCAGAGATTTCCCGTCGTATATGGAACTTCAATATTGGAAACAACATTGTCGATGTTAGAAGACATACCAGAGACATTGAATGGAGCCATGTATAAGGGAAAATCAATACAATCAGCCGGAGGATCGGGTACAAATATAGCCAAAACTATGTGTAAACTGTTTGGAGAAGTCAAATTTATTTCTGCAATTGGTGACGACCTCATGGGTGAGATTCTACTGAAACTTTTACCTGAACCATCGCGGTGTAACATAACAAAATGGCCAGGATATTCAACTTCCTCTTGCACTGTGATAGTTGACCAGACGGGAGATTGTAAATGTATGTTACGCGACATGGAAATGCAAGATCAATGTGAAACCGGCTACTACGATATTGAATTTAATCATATATATAAAGCATCTGTTGTCATATTTGATGACAATTTACCACTCAAAATCATGGAGAGGATTTTCTTTTTTGCCTCTCGATTCAAAGTGCCGATATTTTATGAACCGACAGATTTGAAAACAGCTGGAAAACCCTTCTACAACTTTTTGCCACTTTCTACCAAATTAATTCGCCTTGTAACCCCCAATTACGACGAACTGCAAGATATCGTTAAATCAGAGTGGGGAGAACTTTTAATAGTTGATAGAGAGGATTTGAATAATGTTGAAGAAACTCTTGCATCAGTTACGTATACGCTTATACATATTGCACACAGGTTTGATTGTATTGCGGTTAACCTGGGACAAACTGGTATAGTGTTGTGCATTAATTCGTCATTTAATCCTTACACACAATCTTTGTTTGTCAATCAGAAGTACATATTCGATCCTACTGAACGAACCGAATTGTCGAAACAGATAATATTCTTTCCCACTCCAAATATGGTAAAAGGGTTTGTAAGTGATTCTGGCGTTGGGGATAGCTTTGCCGGTGTTTTCTTTTCAGGACTATTGAAGGAGTACACCGTGACTCAATCGATTGGCTTGGCATTTCATGCTGCTGGACAAGCTGTGGAAACATTTGAGATCTGGGAGGATTGTGAAGTGTGGAAGCGTAAAATGGACGACTTTAAAAAAGAGGGTTATTTCAATGAAAAACTAATGTTTAAAAGCCAACAGATAGGAAATACCCACGGCCAATGTTCGATTAATTGAATGTATTTTGATTTCTGTTATGATTATTCAAATTTTTGACCCTCTATGGAGTGTGGGCCAATAGGAATGGGCAATATTGTCAATTTCGGTTCCGAAACAAATAAATATGATATAATTATTACGACGTTCCAGGTTTGGACTATATTGGTTACATCACTTTACTTTATATGAGATATGTGGTAATTTTTAGAAAATGTTAAAGTACCAAGGTACCGACAGAAGTATTCCATTTTCATACTTCATCTAATAAAGATAAAAATATTGGCATGGACAGTTTTATGCGAAATCATAAATTCCATATTCATCTTAGGATTCCTGTTAAGGGAAATATTTATATACAGCCGGTTGTAAAGAATAGCTGACGTATTTCGCAATTATGACAGATATAAGTATTGGAAATTGTGACCTTTTTTGGTTGAGGTACCAAAACGGGTTGGCATATATCTATTATCTTCAAAAGAGAATTTGTGTTAGCAAAAATCTTTGTGTGTGTGTGAAATTTGAAGAGAGATGATGCTTATTCAGATTTTTATGAGCGCTTAGTTTTTTCAAAAATTGTAACTCGTCGTGGGGGAAGTGCCAGAACGAGTGCGCCGATGTATCCCATTTTCACAGCAGATCTTATGTTAGTATAAATAATGGCATGTGTGTACCGGTTGCTTATTTCGGATTTTATGATCGTTTTAGTCATTCAAAATGTTGACCCCTTGTGGGGGAGGTACCAGAAGAAATGATCCGATCTCTACCATCTTTATAGCAGATCTTGTGTTGATTGAAATATTGAGATGTACCAATGGAATGGAATCAGATGTTAATTTCGCGTTTTAGGAGCTTCATGGATATTCAAAGTTTCTACCATTTGTGATGGAGGTACCAGATAGAGTGCACCGATTATCCCATCTTCTTGTGTTAGTAAAAGTAATCGGATATGTGAGATTTGAAGATAACCGGATGCTTTTTTCGGATTTTAAGATCGTTTTGGTTACTCAAAATTGTGACCCTTTGTGCGGGAGGTACCAGAAGAAATGGTCCGGACTGTACCATATTCACAGCAGATCTTGTGTTAGTAAAAGTAATAGGATGTGTGAAATTTAAAGAGAGTTGAATGCTTTTTAAAATCATGGACCCTATTTGGAGGAGGTGCCAGAAGAAATAGTTCGATCTCTTAAATCTTTATAACAGATATTGTGTTGATTGAAATATTGAGATGTACAAAGTCTGAATGGAATGCGATGTTAATTTCGCGTTTTAGGAACGCTTTGGAAGGGAGGTACCAGATTGAGTGGACCGATATATTCCATCTTCACACCAGACCTTGGGTTGATAAAAATATTGTGATGTGTGTAATTTAAAGACAATGGACAATTACATCACATTTTATAAGAGTTATAATTATTCAAAATGTTGACCCTATGTGGGGAAGGTACTGGATGGATTGGGCCGATATTGACCATTTCCACACCTGGCCTAGCACTGATGCAGATATTAGGATTTGCAAAGTTGAGGCAAAATCGGATTATCATTCCTCTTTCTGTGCAGTTACATATTTTTTTGAAGATGTCGACTTTTTGTGGGGTTGGTCCTAGAAGGAGAGGACCGACATTGTATATCTCCGAACTCGATCTATGTTTAGAATGTACCAAGTTTGGACCAAATCGAATACTCTCTTCGAGAGTTGTCGTGGGGTCCAGCCAGACAGGCGGACGGACGGACATCGCTAGATCGACTCCAAATATCATAAAACGGATTTGGTCCAAAGAGACCTAGGGTCTTCAACCGTTATTTCGATGAGGCACGTTTTTGCCGTATCAAATGATATATACCCTGTATAGCCATATGGCTGAGGGTATAAAAATGCTTGTGTAACAAATACTGAATACTCGAAATTAAACCCTCATTTACAGCCTTATACTTGTACTGTTCGGCCGAGCGAACTTTGAATACTCTGCTCCATTTGGAAGGAATTTGAAAAATTTTAAAAAAATCCTTTGAAAAATACCGCAAAAATTACAAAAATCGTGAATGAAGACGTATATATGTAATTTTTGTCTCAGGCCATCACGATATTACAATACGAAATTCGGAACAATTCCGGAGAATAACGTAGCTAAAATCACTAAAATACCGAAAATAGGGAGGAACCGTTAAATGGGGACTATACGAAGACCAGAACCAGTATGTGAAATTTTCTGTCATAGACTGTAGTACCCATTAGAAACGTCAAATATGAAATTTGACACAATTCCGGTGCATAATGTCGGCCAAGATAAGGTAATAATAGATAATCAAAATACTGAATATATGGGGAAGTACCGTTATATGGGACCTATACCAAGGCGTGGTCATGAATAGACAATTTTTGGTCACAGGCTGCCGCACTCATTACGAACCGACAATACAAAATTTGAAACAATTCCGGCGGATAATGTCGCTAAATATGGGTAGGTACATAAAAAGGGGCAATAAGAAGACGTGGATCTGTATGAGCAACTTTTTGTCATAGGATGTAGAGCCCATTAGGAACTCCAAATTCCTCATTTGAAACATTTCCGGTGAAATATCACAAATCATCAAAATACGGAAAACTTAGACCTATATTGACAGTTCTATGCAAGGGCGTTGCCTACATACTTCGGGTTGAAATTGTGGCGCTACACCAAAACCTGGACCTACTTGATCCATAGGTGAGATATTTTTCCATATACATTTATTTAGAAATAATTCATTACATATAAGCTTACAGGTAATACAGAGGCTATAGTATTGTTAAGCGTAGGGTTGTAATTGCTAGTTAAGCTAAACGTGACACATACGCTTTCCAAGTTTATTCTGAGTAACTTTTCAACTCATACAAATATAACTTTGAACAGACTAAGTGTTTATTTTTTTAAGACATTTTTTATCAGCAGTGTTAGGGCCAGCGTCAAGCTTTTGCCACACATCTAAACAAAACCCCTTCCCCTCATATTCTTTGCAATAAACAAACAAACGGATTAGTTTCACTTGAATTTTCATATCGATCAGTTGATTACTAATTGTTGGTCGGAACATTGAGTTGTGTTAGCTGAACTTCAAATACAGATAACAATTGTTTAATAACTGGCAATGGATAACAATAAAGAAGAGGAGAGATTACCCTTAGTCGTTGGGGTTTCTATATTAGACATAACAATGTCAATGAAAGAGGATTTACCATCAACAATTGATGGTGCCATGTACTATGGAAAATCTGCACAATCAGCCGGAGGAGTAGGAAGAAATTTGGCCGAATCTATATATAAACTATTTGGAAAAGTAAATTTTGTTTCATTAATTGGTGACGACATTATTGGAGAAATTATGTTAAACCTTTTGCCTGAACCTTTACGGCACAACATAGTTAAACTTCCAGGCTCTCGAACTTCTTCTTGCACTGTCATGGTTGACAAGGCTGGGGATTGTAAACTCATATTAGGCGACATGGAAATTCATAACAAGTTTCATGCAGAATATATTTCACGGAAGCTTTTACACACAGCATCTGTTGTCATAATCGACGCAAATTTACCCATCGATACAATACATTGGATTTTAAAAACGGCTCGCGAGGTTAAAGTTCCGGTATTTTATGAACCCACAGATTTGAGAATATCAGGAAAACCTTTCTATAGCAGTGTACCGCATCTTACCAACATAATTCGACTTATAACTCCCAATTATGCCGAACTTCAAGATATCGTTAGATCTGAATTGGGGGACCACTATGAATTTGATGAAGTGGATTTAGAAAATGTTGAAGCAACTCTTGAATCAGTTAAACGTATGCTTAAGGCTATTTCTCATATGTTTGACTGTATTGTGGTTACCTTGGGACAGGCTGGCATTGTATTATCTCTAAACTATTCAGTTAATCCCTTCCAACAACCTTTGTTTATCGATCAGAAATACATATTCGATCCAACTGAAAGTACCGAAACATCGAAGAGAATTATATTTTTCCCCACTCGAATTGTAGAAAAAAATGTTGTCAGCGTTTCTGGTGCCGGGGATAGCTTTGCTGGTGGTTTCATTTCAGGACTACTAAAGGAATACACCGTATCTCAATCGATTGGATATGGCTTTCATGCTGCTAGGGAGGCTTTGAAAACCGAAGCTGCTGTGCCAAAGGAATACTTTCCACCAGGTTGGGAGGATAGTGACTTTTGGTTGAGGAGAATGGAGTACTTTAAAACACCAAGTTGGTTCGGAGTAAAAATTTGGGATTATGTAATTGACTAGAATATATATAAATTATTTTTAATAATATTACTATTAATAACTAATAAAAATACACAAATATTGATCATTAATTTAGCTTTTACTAATTTATTGGATAAATATTGTTTGTACAAACCTAAATATGCATTTGCATAAATTGAACGGTATCTTATAACTATGACATACAGAGGAAATGAGAAGATGAAAATGATGATATTATGCTTAGAATTCACGGCGATGATATTTGTCGGGATCAAAGTAAGATGTAACTACTACCCGATCACTAAATTTGCGACCCGTCAACGCCTGTTGAGCCTTCTGACAATCCATGACAGAATTGAATTCGACAAACACTTTGCCCAAACCGGGTACATCGACACCATCGATGGGTCGTGGTATTTCAACACTACGTACAACACCGTATTTATTGCATTCCTCCTTAATATCTTCTAGAATATCTTCGTATTCCTCTTCGTCACGTAATTCATCTGGTGTAACCATGTTGAGCAGACACAACACCTCCGTGGGTGGGCCAGATGAAATGAAATTGGACAAACCAGGCACCTATAGAATGTAAGTAATTTAATTTACCGCAATGTTAAATATCAGTTCTATGAATAAATGTAGCTTTTCGAGCTCGAGGTCGTTATATAATTGCTTTTATTTCCAATATTTCGGAATTCTATGAACTCAAATTATATTTAAGACTTCCAGCTCGATAATAAAATAAAAAATTTAGTAAATTACTGAATATGGTGGACATGTGGTCGTTTGGTTTAGTGGTAGGAAAAATAATAAAATCTTTAAAATAATTCCTTTTTCCTTTCTTTATAATTCCTTTCTTCCATGCTTATTATACCCTCAGCCATATGGCTAGAGAGGGTATATATCATTTGATACGGCCAAAACGTGCCTCATCGGAATAACGGTTTTAGACCCTAGGTCTCTTTGGGCCAAATTCCTTTCAGGACATTTGGAGTCGATCTAGCAATCTAGTCCGTCTGTCTGTCTGGCTGGGCGCACGATAACTCTCGAAGGGAGTACCCGATTTGATCCAAACTTGGTACATCGTGATATTATTGTCAAACCTAGATCGAGTTCGGAGATGGGCAATATAGGTCCACTTCTACTGGTACCAAACACACACCCCATCCCCGAAATGTCAACATTTTCAAAGAAAACAATTTACTGCACAGAAAAAAAACGATAATCCGATTTTGCTCCAATTTTACTTATCCTAATATCTGCATTAGTGCTAGGTGAGGTGCGAAAATGGACAATATTGGTACACACCAACCAATACCTCCCCCACAAAAGGTCAAAATTTTGAATAATTATAACTCTTATAAAATGTGATGTAAGTGTCCGATAGTCTTTAAATTCCACACATCGCAATATTTTTATTAACGAAAGGTCTGGTACGAAGATGGAATATATCGGTCCACTTCTTCTGGTACCACGCCCAAAAATCGTCAAAATGTTGAATATATGAAGCTTATAAAACGTGGAATTAACATCCGATTCCATTCAGACTCCATATTTCCATCAACACAAGATCTGTTATATAGATTGTAGGGATCGGACAATTCCTTCTGGTACTTCCCCAACAAAGGGTCAAGGTTTTAAACAACCAAAACGATCATAAAGTCCGAAATAAGCATCCGGTTCTCTTCACATTACACACATCACAATATTTTTAATAACACAAGGTCTTGTGTGAAGGTGGGATATATCGCTCCACTTCTTCTGGTATCTCTCCCACAAATAATCAAATATTGAAAATATATGGAGCTCATAAAACGAGAAATTAACATCCGACTCGATTCAGACTTGGTAAATCTCAAAAGAGATCGGACCATTTGTTCTGGTAAGATTTTAAAAAACACATAGGGTTTAAGATTTTAAAAAACGCTCAAAGAAAGCGAAATAAGCATCCAACTCTTTTCAAATTTCACACATCCAAATATTTTTGCTAACGCAGGATCTGTTGTGAAAATGCTATATATGCGAACCCCTTCTGGTACCTAACATAGATTTTCAATACTTTTATCTGCCATAACTTGCAAAATAAGTCAACGATTCTTTACAACATGATATATCTGAGTATGTCTCTTAACCAGGAATCTTATATGAATATGTAATTTATCGAAATTTATGATTTCGCATAAAATTGGATATAAATGTTCGATTTCCTTCAAATGTTGCACATACCAATATTTGTATCTGTATTAAACGAAGTATGAAGATGGAATTCTTCGGTCCGATATATCTGTTACCTTACGCATATTTCCACATTTTTCAAAAAGTTGCACATATCTCATATAAAGTATAGGAAGTAGTCGACATAGTCCAAATCTGTCACGTTGTAATATTTACATCAGTCATAGGCAGATACGAATTGGTCCATATTGGCCAAAAATTTGAACAATCACAACTCAAGGCTGGGGGTATGCATCTGAATATTATGATATTATTTTACTTGTTTTAACAGTATTTAAGTCATGTGGCTTCATTTCAACCGAAAATATTTCTGAAGGTCCTAAAAATAATTTTACACACGGAAAAATTTGTCGAATGTATTCATAATTGCCTGTGTGATTCTTAATTAATTAAGGGGAGAATTCACCTTAAACGACCAAATGACCATCTTCGACTAAATGTGTACTTAACCTACCTGTATTGTGACTGGTGTGGCCACAACTGCTTGATTATTTTGAGCATTTTTGGCACCAACACTTGCCCTTTGAACAATAAGTTTCTTTTCGCCCAATTGCATGCCATTCAAACCGGCTATAGCCTGCGATAAACAAACAAAAAAAAAACGTTTAATACGGATTGTATAAAATCAATATCTGCGAATGAATTACCTGATCAGTTATGCTCAAATCGACATATTCACAAAAAGCATAGCCCTTGCTCAAACCAGTCGATGCATCTTTAACCAAATTAAAAGCCCGCAATTGTCCAAAAGATAAAAGTAGCTCTTTAACCTAAAGTAAAAGACAATTCAACATAAAACAGAAATTAATAGAGAATATTCTTCTTCATTTTTTTAATGTTATTTAGTAAACAAATCAATTTGTCATTGAGTATAGTTGCCCATCGGACTACAATTGTTTATGTTCTTAGTTCTTATTATATAAACATAACTTGCCTTTTTTTGAAGTTTTTTTCTTCGTTAGAAGAAGATAGGTAGGTATCTTTTGAGAGTTTGTGTTTATGACTGTGTTTCTTTTTGTTTATACAATATAAAACAATTTTTTGTAAGAAATACTCATATTTTTATGGACAAAGGCTGTCGCATACGCTGAGTTGCACATACTAATCTACAATTATATAAACGAATAAAAACATGTATCAGTAAATTTGCATCAAAAGTTATGTGCTGAAAAGAACTGCCGCTGAAAGAGGGGGTGTAAAGAAAATATTTGCTGAAACGAGGAGATTTTTGCTGAAAAAAACGTTTTTTGCTGAAAAGGAAAATTTTATTTTGCTGGAATGGAGATATATATGTATTTATTTCCAATATTTTGCTGAAAAATCAATGGGTTTTCTGGTGAAATGGATTTATTTGCTAAAGATGCAAATGTTCTCTATTATATAGTAGATTTTTAGTCATACAATTTTTCGGTGTTCCTACTTAATTGGAAAAATAATATGATGGTCAAAGGAACTTCTTTATATACCTTACTAACCGAACCTTACTAAAAATTCGAACAAAATAGGAAAACAAAAATCTTCCCAATCGACTTCTACAATTTTCCAACATATCTTAAAAAATACAAAAAACGGGAACAAGACCGGTATTTTGATGAACATTCACCACAAACAAATCTTAAATCCTTAAAATGTCCATGGTACAATCATTACAATAAGGGTTGGTTTAATTTGAAAAACACAGCTCTGAACGTTTTGCTTCAAGTTTGCTTATTTTAATTTATTTGACACATCCTCACAGTATTTCTATTTATGAGAAAATCGCAAAAAATGAATGGATAAAGCATGAATTTAAATGTCAACAGCATTTGAAAATTTAACCATTTTTTTGTTATATCCCGTTTTATAGCCCGTTTACAGAACTTTTGTTTAAGGCAAACAAGCAATTGCTACCCAGACAATCAAATTTTTATTTCAGTTCAGTTACATTTTTTGTCTGGGAGTAAAAGATCATTTCACATATTGCCCTACTGTCAAAATTTGTTTGTTTCCAAAAAGAAAATTTGTTTATTTTTTCAAAAATGACTGCGTCCGTTTGTTTTGGTGTTGACGTGTCGGTGCCCGGATATAATCCACACGGATCCCCATGTGGGGTATGACTGTTTGCAGTGTGGACATTTTTTTTTCCCTCTTTAGAAAAGTGATCACAAATAATAGCTAAAAACCCCGAAATGTCAATATGTAAGGAGTTATGGCCATTTTAAAGTATGCTATTTTTCCTCTTGCGAAAAGTGATCACAAATAATAGTTAAAAACCCCGAAATGTCAATATTTAAGGAGTTATGGCTATTTTAAATATGATGTTTTTCCTCTTTTGAAAAGTGATCACAAACAATAGCTAAAAACCCCGAAATATCAATATTTAAGGAGTTATGGCCTTTTTAAAGTATGATATTTTTCCTCTTTAGAAAAGTGATCACAAATAATAGCAAAAAAAACCCGAAATGGCAATATTTAAGGAGTTATGGCCATTTTAAAGTATGCTATTTTTCCTCAAGCCCCGGTCAAAGGCCATCTACTTGCAAAAATTATGAAATTTAGGTGCAAGACATACCCAGAGGATAAAATCTCAATTTTTTCACACACCCAATCGTTTTGGACATGCCCATTCTTATAGGGCTTATGTCCGAAACTTTCTAGGGATTGTGGCCTAACTCCATATTATGTCCAAGAAAAAAAAGGTCATAAACTCCAGAAAGTAGCGGACATAACCCCCATAATAATGGGTACGCCAAAGACTTTCTCTTCTGGGTATGTCCCGCACCGGCTATTTATTGCGTACGGAAACCAATAACTCTATTTGTCTGTCATTTGCCTTCCATTTAGAAAAAAAAGTTTGCTGAACAGGCTATTATTATTTAGAATTAAAAAAATATATATCTTAAATTAAAATATTGTGATAAAAGTGAAATTTAAACTAAACAACTTGTTGCATTTGTGACATAAAATTATAGATAGAAAAAGCAATGTTGGTCGTAGAATAGATACATTTTTTTTCGTGTATTTATGTCTATAGATGCAAAGCATTATCCTATTCAGACAACGCAAAAAAACGTCAGAAAATATTCACTCATCTACTATTTGAAAATGATAGATGAATTGCAATTAAAGAAGGTAACCTCGTGTAATCATGTTTAAATTATTTTTATAATTATTTATTTCAGAACATCGCATTGTCAAAATGCATTATTCATAAATACCCACTTTATTTGAGAATTTAATATACGTAAGTTATTTAAACGTACGCCTATATCTTAACAGGGCGAATGTGTGAGAATTTAGGCATTCAACAAATTTCAACATTTGTTAAACATCCTACATTTCGTTTTAGACATGGGAAAAGCAAACCCCCCAATCTCACTCTAATACCACTGCAAAAAACCTAACTGTTCCAAAAAATAATTTTGTTAATATTACAGCCGCATTTAAATTCAATGCAAGTATCTCAGCCCAAATTTTTACTATTTTACTTACCTGTTCATCGCCCAAATAGTTGGGAAGACCACCAATAAATATTTTATGTGGTGAATCTGGCACAACTGTTGATATAGTGACTACTTTAGCTGCAAAACAAATGAATATATTATAGTTATTACAAATGTTCGTTAGAATATTTCCGCAAATTTTCTACACATACATGCCAGTGTTTGTATGATTTTTGTATCTGTTGTCCCCGGCAATGGTTGGTAGTCATGCGGTCTACGAATTTTCAAAACTTGACCCTTAAAATTAATACCATCAAAAGCCATTGCTTGGCTGGTCTCGTCAATCGAACGAAACTCAAGGAACGCAAAATTCTTATCCAAATTTATTTGACAGGCCAATACCGGATTGCCCTCAGCCTGGGCTAAGCCAACCAAGTGCATTTGTTGATTAAAGAATTCCATCATTTCATCTTCAGTCACACCAAATGGTATATTGCCAACATATAAACGGCGAGCCTGTCGGGCAATTGTCGAACCCACAACAGGAACAGCAGCTTGTGGTACTTCTGGAACTGTATTGGGTGGTATTTGTCCGGAAGCCTGCATTGCTTTGTACTGCATGGGAGTTATATGCTCAAAGCCAGGTGGCGGTACATCCCAATAAAGTGATGGTTTGCGTCGATAGGATTTGTGTCCTCGACGCTCTCGCGAGCGATCACGGGAACGATCGCGATCACGAGATTTAGTGCTTTTCCGATAGAAACGGTCTCTGGAGCGTGACCGAGAACGGGAACGTGAACGAGAGCGTGATCTAGAATGTGAGCGATTTCTTTTGCGTCCTGTCAAGTTCAAGTTGATTACAAACGATTACACAAATCACTTTCGCATTGAAACTTACCATCGTAACCCATATTGCATATATGTTTTTCTATGAAATTCAGGAAGATTTATTACTAAGTATCTCTTTTTGAATAATCCTTTTAAATGAATTATAAGCTGAATTTTTTCTCAAAAAATGACAATATTCTCCCCGTAAATTGTTTCCGTTTTCTTTCCAGAAACTGCTTTCTGTTGGATATTTTCTTTCTCTTTCTATCAAATGCAAAGGAAACATAAAACCAAACGTTGATGAAGGTTTAGAATAATAACAAAACCCCAAACAATAGGGATCTGTAGATATGGTGAAACCTAAACAAGTACTCTTTAAAGCCCGTTTACACTATACACCTATTCTATGATTAAGTGTACTATCACCATTTATGGGCTTAATCCGATATCAAAGTAAAAGCTTTTACAAAAGAAAAAAATTGTATTCAAGTATTTGCTATGCCTTACCTTGTAAATGAATGTACCATGTATGGATGCAGAAGGAGACTGTGTATTTTAATAAATATAAATAGTAACCTGCACATTTGATAATTTGTCTGAAATTTCGCGTATGCATACGTAAACCAAAATCAGCTGATTGACATGCAAACTAGTCTTAAGGTGAGAATACATAAAGCGCTTATTTAGCTGGCTTAAATATGCAAGTACATAAACAGCATGAATTCATGTCTAGGCATATTAATGTCAAATTATAGCGGAATACGACCGAAGGATTTAAGTGCAGCTCTGCAATCCCGTTATGAAATGTCACATAAAGCGCTTATTTGGCTGGCTTAAGTCATTGGCTGGCTTCTTCGGAAATGAACAAAGGAGCCTAGGGGCAAAATCGAACTAAGCACTTTACGTAATCCCACCTCAAGCCAGCTGGTTGAAAATTGGATTAGAAATTTAGTCGGTTTAAAACAATTAATGACCTATTAGACAAATTAATTCATTTGAAAAATGAAGCAACATATGCTTATCTTTCCACATTTAAGTATTTTAATGAGATACATTACTCAAAATTGTGAGCTTTCGGGTGAAGGAATTGGAGGGAAGAAAACAGTGTACTCGCCTTCATGTCATCGTAATATCAAATATTTGCGTTTTTTATATTCTCATTTCATTTTCTCGTTGCTGAAGTTGCCCTTTTTAATTTTTAAAATTTTCTTTGGTTTTATTTGGTTGTATGATAAATTGGTTGAAATGGAATTTTTCTTTGAATATTTGCGGTATTTGTTTCTAGCGTTCCCTGTTCGACATTTTTGAAGGGAGTTTATTCAGTGAGTCATATGGAGTCACATATATTTTTTTTGTGCGAGACATGAGAATTGTGAAAAATGTTGAATGATGTGTTCACTACTAGGAAACAACTAACAACGAAAATGATAAGCTATCATTTCATTATGATTGACACTACAGTTGAACGTATCAGTCATATGCGATTGTCAGTACACAAACATTGTTTTTTTTCTCTTTTTTTTGTTTCTGCAATGAGAACATAGCGTAAGTCCAACAATATACTATGAATAGTCGAGTACTCGGTTTCCACCCAAGTCCATAGTCGAGTTCGAGTTTCAGAACAAAGTCGATTATTCCATTAATCGGAAGTCGACTTACCTATCCCTAGCACAAAATTTGTTTTTAATTTGTTTTGTTTTTGCCGGTTTTGTTTGGTTTATTTGCGATGAATACTAGAAAGGTATTTTATGCGAATGCTAATATAGACTATACTTAATCAAATTTCCTCTTTAAGAAAACCTGGGTCAAATCCGTGTTCTCACAGCTTCCACCGGAGACGAATAATAACTCTGTAGCCAGCCCAAGCTTAGTCGATAAACAAAAGCCCAAGAGATCCTTACGAAGTAAAGCTAGACATGACCACACGCAAGATATAACCGCAGTTGTGAATTTGGATAGTGATGAAGAAGACAGCAAGCAGCAGCAAATGGAATCTAACGTAATCCAAACCAATGCTTGTATAACTAACGAAAATTGGATAGATTTGTATGCTCCCAAGAAGATTGAGGAATTGGCTGTACATCCAAAAAAGATACAAGAATTAGAACAATGGTTGAGACACTGCGAAATAATGAAAAAGAAAAAACAACCAGTTCAGTTGTGTTTGTTGACTGGTCCCTCAGGTTGTGGGAAAACTGCAGCTGTACAGGTACTTGCCAAGGACATGAAGTTTACCATTCAGGAGTGGACAAATCCTGTTGACCAGGATATGATTTATAATTTGGGCGATCAAGTATTTGGAGAGTCGAATTTTACAAGTTCCCAAGTTGATGCTTTTAAAGCGTTTCTCTTTAAAGCCTCACGCTACAGGTCACTTTTTGAGATTGCTGGAAATGATAGGCGTTTGTTACTCGTTGAAGATTTTCCCAATTTTTTATTAAGGGATCCCACTGCTCTTGAAGCCATACTTGAGTAAGTTTGTAGTGAAGTGATAATTTAATGATATTTTAATTTTTGTTTTTTTTTTTTTTATTTTGGCAGTGATTATGTCATCTATGGTAGAGCGCCACTCATTTTCATTGTAACAGACACCAAAAGACGTGGTCTAAATTTAAGCTACAATATATTCAATGATCAACTGAAACAAAAATTCCTTATCAATCACATCAGCTTGAATCCAGTGGCGGCAACGATTATGCAAAACGCCATGAAAAGATTTTGTAGTTTAATGCGCCACCCTCCATACAATGAGTTGTATCGTCCACCCTCAACCGATTTAATAGATTCAATTATTTTGTCCGCCCAAGGAGATATACGAAATGCCCTCATTAACCTACATTTTTCCTCGCTGAAAGGGGCACCACAATTACAGACAAAACCATTGGAGTGTTCACAAGAATCGACACAGGACAACAGCAAGAAGACGTCAAGAAAACGAAAACATCAATCCACACTAAAGTCTGTGGGCAGAGATGAAACGGTAACCATGATGCATGCATTGGGTAGGATATTTAATCCAAAATGTAAGTTATAAACAAAATATCTTATCTAAGCTATACCAAACTGATATATTCTGCTTGCTTTCACAGTTACAGAGTCCAATGGTTTGCTACATGCTCCTGCAGATATAGCACAAGCTTTTGTCACAGAACCCAAGAAATTTGTCGATTTTATACATGCAAATTATTTGCCCCATTTTTCTGACATTGAAACCGTGGTAGATGCTGCCAATGGTCTAAGCTTATGTGATTTAATTTTGAATGAATATCGTGAGGATACCTTAGCATTAAGTGGCCTCGATTTGGGGGTACGTAATGTAATGCTGGCAAATAGAAATCCTGTTTCAGGATGGATGCCTGTTAAAGGACCAAAACGTCTAAACACAGATAATGCTAGTATCATTCCTGCAAAAGCCAGTACATTTTTGCCACCACATCATAATATATCCAAAAGTCAATATGCTATAGAATATAAGACATTTGTAAATATAGTATCGGCATCGAATTGAATACTAACTGTTTAATAAATGAATATATATTAAGAAATTAATTGTACATCCAAAATTTTAAAAATAAATTATTGTTATTCAGTTATATTAAAATTATTGTTATTCAGGAATATTTAAATTATTCTTATTCGAGAGTCCTTAACAACAGAAGATTTTTGAATTTCTTAAGAGACAAATGACAAACATGCTGCATGATTATGTTGCTGTTTTTGTTTGCATACCCTTAACAAGTTTTTATTGGGTTTGAAAAATTGGGCTGGGTTGTAGTCATAGATATTCCGGGGGAGTTTGGTAGGTATGACATACAAGTAGTATAGATTTTATTCCATATAGAAGTCATACCTGGACCTACATAGACAATTTTCTATCATAAATTGTAGTACCTATTAGGAAAATCATCAAAGTATACCGAATATAGGGGCTATACGAAGACGTGACCTACATAGCCAATTTTCTGTCATAGGCTGTAGTACCCATTACGAACTATCAAAACGAAATTTGAAACAATTTCGGTGAACAATGTCGCCAATAGGGGATATACCTAAACGTGGAGCAAACACACATTTGAGAAAGATTTTATCAACCTACTTCTATAGAGAATAATAATCTATAGAGAAAAATATAGAATAATAATTATACCATGTGTATGTGCATGGTAAAATCATAGTAGAAGAATACAAGCAGTCGCGTCAACACAGTTGCTGGGACAATGAACTGTCAAAACAATTTTGGAATTAAAATTTTGAAAAGAAAAATGATTCTAACTTGTAAAAATTGTTAAAAATGCATATCATAACCTAACATTGGCGTCGACGATGAAAACATATACAAATCATCTACCTGTAGTCTTCTACTAGGGGTAAAATTAAGAAGGTAAAGTAATATCAAATAAGCATTCCCAACTTTTGTAATTTACCTTGTAATATTTCAGGGTAGAGAAGGCAGTTTCCCAATGAACAATGGATTTAGAAAAACATGTTTTGACAATGAGATGTCAAATGAATAATTTTGAAAGAATTTTACACATATGAATGCATGAATTTGCCTTCTTGTTTCTACCATGTGTATGTGTTTGTATTAAAAAGAATTCATAGGGACAATACACAGAATTAATTATTGCACACTTAAGGTGGGAACACGTAAAGCGCTTATTTGGCTGGAAGGTTGACTTAGTTCGATTTTGATCCTAGGCTCTTTTGTTCATTTCCGAAGAAGCCAGCCGATGACTTAAGCCTTTAAGGTGGGAGTACATAAAGTGCATATTTGGCTGGCTTAATTCATCGGCTGGCTTCATCAGAAAATATGCGCTTTATGTTTTATTTCCACCCTTAGACTCAAGGACAGAGATGCAATTTTTCATGTTGCATTATGTCATGTTACCTCAAAGAATGACTTTTAATGTAAAAAAGGAGTGGGATGAAAAGGTTGAAATTCTGTAAGGGTGGAAATACATAAAGCGCATATTTGGCTGGCTTAAGTCATCGGCTGGCTTCTTCGTAGATGAATAAAGGAGTTTTAGGTTGACTTAGATCGATTTTGGCCCTAGGCTACTTTGTTCATTTCCGAAGAAGCCAGCCGATGACTTAAGCCAGCCAGATAAGCGCTTTATGTATTCCCAGCTTAATCCCTAACTCGCTTCCCAGCGTACCTAAAGCTGGGAATACATAGATCGCTTATTTGACTGGCTTAAGTCATCGGCTGGCTTCTTCGTAGAGGAACAAAGGAGTTTTAGGTTGACTTAGTTCGATTATGACGCTAGGCTCCTTTGTTCATTTCCGAAGAAGCCAGCCGATGACTTAAGCCAGCCAAATAAGCGTTTTATGTATTCCCAGCTTAACCTGTCATTTGCACAAAACAAATTATATCCAACATGGCTTGGATTGAAATCTACATACTGTATGGGATTTTCAATGACATTTCTTATGACATATATATACGTAAACAGAAATGTGCAAATTAAATAGAGCTAATAAAGCAGCTTCTCTAAACTTTCTTATTTTTTACTATAGTTTCAGTAATTGTCTGGATGCCTTCGCCAAACAGAAAAAAATTGTTTTCACAATAAATACATAAACTGAACTGTTCCGTCTTTTCTAAATGCCGAGGTAAATAAAAATTTTCTAAATCCTTAAAACACCAAAAACTATGTTTCATAAAATTCAAATGTAAATTTGAACAGTTTGTCTAAAATGAATAGTTTAGCAGCATGGTAGAAGAATACAGGTAGTCGCTTCGACACAACTGCTGGGACAGTGAACTGTCAAACCGATTTTGGAATTGAAAATGTTGAATAAAAATTTATTAAAATTTGTAAAAAATGTTGAGAAATGCATATTGTAACATCGTATAAGAAAATATATAAAAATCTACTTATTTTTGACAAAACAATTTTAAAATTTTGACATATCAATGTTCGCAAGCGTTGATGTATCTACCTATATTCTTCTTCCATGGTTTAGCAGCAAATGTCGTATGTAAACACTAGCTAAGACAACTTGCTATCAATTCGATGTGTAACCGGCCACCCTAAGACAAACATGGCTTTCTATCGTTGACACTAAATTGTAAAAGATTAGCGTGTTTTGAAAATACACGAATCACCCCATGTTTGTGTTAAACTAAAAACCCCAGCAGCAGGGAAAATTCGTCAAGATATTTTAGCTTCCTTTTTTTAACAAGAGCGTACGGAATATACGATTGAATAATTTCAAGGCCAAAGAAAACATAAAACCAAGCTAATTTTTTCAATATGGGTGCAGATGGTAAGTTATTATTTCAGCTGCGAGTTCAAGAAATGCAAATTTTGCAAAATGTGTATACCAACACGCGCTGGAGGAAACATTGATTTAGCACGCTATCAATATGCTAACATTTCCTTTTTTTTGTAATCTACGTAGATCGGGATAGGCGCAGGCATAGGAGTCGCTCACGTTCTCGCGATAGGCGTCGTTCACGTTCCCGTGATCGCGATCGTCGTGACCGTCGCGATGAGCGAGGCATGGCCAATATACCCGGCGCCAGCAGTGGGCCCCGTGGCAGAGGTAACACAAAACGTCGCAAGCCATCCTTGTATTGGGATGTGCCTCCACCGGGATTCGAACACATTACGCCGCTGCAATACAAGGCAATGCAAGCATCTGGTCAAATACCCGCCAATACTGTACCCGATATTCCCCAAGCCGCCGTACCGGTTGTAGGTTCTACTATCACAAGACAGGCTCGACGACTGTATGTTGGCAACATACCATTCGGTGTAACTGAAGATGAAATGATGGAATTCTTTAATCAACAAATGCATTTGACCGGTTTGGCTCAGGCTGATGGCAACCCCGTCTTGGCTTGTCAAATAAATTTGGACAAAAATTTTGCATTTCTTGAATTCCGCTCAACCGATGAAACAACTCAGGCCATGGCTTTCGATGGCATCAACTTTAAGGGACAAAGTTTGAAAATACGACGACCACATGATTACCAACCAATGCCGGGAGTTGTTGATGCCTCACCCATGCCGCAACCTGTTTGTAAGTTGCTTGTCTTGTCTGTTCTCAGTTAAGCAAACGTTTAACAAACACTTTCTTTTATTTTTAGCAAATGGTGTTATATCCACAGTTGTTCCAGATTCTCCGCATAAAATATTTATTGGTGGTTTACCAAATTATTTGAACGAGGAACAGGTATTTAATAACATTCTGTTGGCGGCATTGAAGAAATGTTTAGTTTCGTTCGAAGTTAACATTTCTTTTCGCATTTAATCCTTGGCAACTTTCCACAGCACTGAATATCAAAGGAGAATATGTTCTCAAAGTTATTATTGCCATTTAAATCTCAAAATATTTTGCAGCTAATATCAACTTTTATTGGCTTTAAAAGTGTTTTGTCAAAAAATTAATCAAAATTTAAAATGTTCATAGCATCTTTACTCGTTGAGAAATTAAAACTTTCGCGGATGCTAAAAATATCTGGGAGCTGCAAAAATGGAAAGGCAATTGTTTTTGACTCAACTCCAGTTCATTAAAACTCTCCGATTTTCTGAATTTGTAATTTGATAAAAGAAACACCTCAGGTCTTTGTCTAAATAAAATATAAATCATTTGATACATACGAAATATGTCACGTCGGAATAACGGTTTTAGAACCTAGGTCTCTGGCATTTGGCAGTTCCAACATTTCTATCAGCACTAGATTTACGGTTTCGATAGAATATATCGATCCACTCCTGGTGCAATCCTTCAGAAACACCAATTTTTCAAAAATATCTCATAGAAAACGAAGGAAGCATCCGATTAGGTTGATTCCACGAAATGTTAACATTTTCAATGATCATAACTCTTATTAAATTCGAAATACTTTACCCATTTTCAATAAACTTTGCAAAGTTGTAATGTTGCTACCAAAATTAATACCATGGGAAGTGAGGATGAAACGATTGGACACCTTTTATGGCACATTCCTGCTATATCAAGGTAAAGAGTTACGGGGGTACATTCGACTAATGATTTTAGTGTGCATTCAGACACGGATCCATTTGTCATCTATAATTTTGTAATGTAATGTATGGCACATTCCTGCTATATCAAGGCAAAGAGTTAAGGGGGTACATTCGGCTAATGATTTTAGTGTGCATTCAGACACGGATCCATTTGTCATCTATAATTTTGTAAAAAGGCTTTACAGGCTCTGGCGCCGGAGTTTAAACACAACTTTGTTCGATGCTTTTCTCCATCGCATATATTTCTCTCCATAGGCCTTTCATTTCTAGCTACTTGCATTTCTTCTTCCTTTTCTTTTTTTCCGCAGGATGATCATAACGGACCGAAAAGACTCCGAGTGAGATTGTTACAATTTCAATTATAACTACACATCTTTTAACCTTACCTAACATAAAACCATGGGAAGATGGGATATATCAATCCACACCTTTTTACCTTTAAGGTTATAAATCTTAAATTACAATATGTCTCATAAAACGTTAAGTTATTGCCTGATTTTCTTCAAATTTCGCGCCTCTCAAAATTTCTATTATAAATATTAGAAAATCGTAAACTTCATAAAAAATATAAAGCAAACCGAATCTGCGTACGCTCATCAGTCCACTCCTTCTCATAACCAGCCCTAAGTGGTCAAAATAATTGGACTTCCAGTGATCATGATATACAGGGTGAGATAATAAAAACTGCAACTGCAAAGTCAAACGCTATAATTTTTACATTTTTTTAATTTTATTGAATGAAAGCAAAAAATGTCGGAAATAGCATCAAATTTTAAAATAAGTTTAGATTTGTTCGATTAGTTACCTTTGACACGAATTATGGCTCTCAAACGGTGGTATTTTGGCCCATTCCCGGCGAAGCGCTTGCTTGCTTTCCAAAACACTCCAGACACAATAGTCCAGCGGATTGGTATCCGGAGATTTTGTTGACCATTGTGTGCTTGAAATGAAGCGAGGAACCCCATTTTGCAACCATTCTTGGATGACGCGTGCTGAGTTCTGTTGGAATGTCCATGGAAGTTAGTTGCATTTTTTCATCTCACCCTGTATATACTTTGTGGTATTAAAAGGAATTGCCAGAAAAAATCCATTTCCATTCCCTTTACCTTTTTATTCGCACAAATAGAGATTTGTCCCAAATAAACGTGCCTAATGTCAGTCGGACTTACACATATATATAAATCAAATATATTTTGAAGCGGGTTCAGTTCAGTTAAAAACTTTTCCAAGAGAAAATACATTTCATTTTTGAAATTTCAGTTTATTTTTAAACATTATCAAAGGAATTGTTGGAAGCTGTAAAAAAACTATCAAAATATCAACTTTACTATGGCCTTTTAAAATGTAAATAGGATATTGAGAAGCATAAACTTTGTATCTGTTTTGAAAAAATGTTGCAGTTGTTTTTGTTTCAGCGTAAAACTACTTTGTGAAAAAATGAGGCTCTGTGTTACAACAGATGCTAAATCGAATTCCTAGCCTTTTCGGAGGGACATCATATCTATAATTTTGTTTCAGCCTTTTCTATGCATATATGGTGGTGATAGTTCCCTCCTCCATTTAGGTTTCAGCATTATTTCTTTATAATTTTTTTCAGCTATAGCCCAGCGGGATTCTAGATTTTAAATTGTTGTTTTTGTTTCAGCTATGCAAGAACCAGTTGTTCCCTTAAGCAAAGATGAAACTAACGACTGCAAATACGAAATTTATTAAATGCTCAAATTCCGTATTAAAATTGTATTTCGATTATAACGTTTTATTACAGGCTACATATATTTTCAGCTTAAACGAATATGTATTTTTGTGTTTTGTACATTAAATACCTATATTAATAATTTCGTGGTATTCTTGCAGCTTAGGTGGTGGTGGTGGTGTTGTTGTTGTGCCGTAACATTCCAATTATTCTTGTTGTTACATACATACGCATTGTTTTTGAGTCCTTCCTTCCGCTCGCACTACATGTCAACCAAAAAACCAAGACCAAAATCAATGCCTGCAGAGCAGACGATTTCTCAGACACACACTAAACGCCAATCAATAACTTTTCGAAACAAACCCATCTCCATGCAAAAAAGGCAAGTTTCTTTTTTGATTTTCAGGAAATACCATAGAAAAATATGTACACATTTCCCCCCTCTAGTCAAATTTATAGCCCAAAAAAAATGCAAACAGGTAACACTAATTTCCAAACAGCAGCAACTACCGTGACGTGATATAAATATTTAGCGCGTTCATTTTTCTAGGTTCAATTTCAATTCGGGTTCATACACAAAGGAGGTTTTCACTGCAACAAAACAGAATTTTCACATTAAACTATTATTGTTTTCGTTTAGATCTTTATGAAATGTGTGTGTAATGTAAGTCAATTTGTTTGTTTTCTCATTTCGATTAAACACAGGTTAAGGAGCTACTTCTGTCGTTTGGCCAACTTAGGGCGTTCAATTTGGTTAAGGACGCTGGCACCGGTCTGAGCAAGGGTTATGCTTTTACCGAATATGTTGATCACACCATAACAGATCAGGTAATAATTGTTAATACCATCTAATGTGGTTGTAAATTAATCCATTACGTTCTTTCTTCATAGGCAATTGCTGGTTTGAATGGCATGCAATTGGGCGATAAAAAGCTTATTGTACAACGTGCCAGTGTTGGGGCTAAAAATGCTCAAAATAACTCAGCAACAGCAGCGCCAGTTACCATACAGGTACCCGGTTTGGCAATGTTGGGCATTTCTGGACCACCCACCGAAGTTTTGTGTCTTCTCAACATGGTTACACCCGACGAGCTGCGCGACGAAGAAGAATATGAGGATATCTTGGAAGACATCAAAGAGGAATGCAATAAATATGGCGTTGTTCGAAGTGTGGAGATACCCCGACCAATTGAGGGTGTTGATGTGCCGGGTTGTGGTAAAGTTTTTGTAGAATTCAACTCGGTTATGGATTGCCAAAAAGCCCAACAGGCATTGACCGGACGTAAATTCAGTGATCGTGTTGTAGTCACATCTTACTTTGATCCAGACAAATATCATCGTCGTGAATTCTAAGGCAAAGAAACAAAGCGAATGGGGAAGTACAATTAATTACCTAAAGATAATGAAACAATTAAGAATCAACAACCTCCTCCCCCTGGTACCAACAACAGTTTACAGAAATCACAAATATTTTGAGTGAACATAAATGTTCGTATATAAAAATTACTTTATTAAACAACAACAGCAAAATCTTTTCATATATACAAATATTAATATACGATGGAGCGTTTAATGAACGTCAAATCTCTTTATATATAGATATTTGTAGGTATATTCCTAACATATTTCATTCTTTTATATATGAGTGTATTGATAATTGACAATTTTCTTCTTTGATTTTGTTAAATTGTAAGCTAGTTTAATATATTTGCATATACTACAGACATACAATATTTCTTGCGTGTAAAGCAGAAGTCGAATGGACATTGATGCCACTGGAAGAAAAAGAAATTAATTTATCAATAAAGTATAACACAACAACGCATATGTTTTTTGATTTTATAGGCAAAGTATGAAGTAGAAAACAGAGGGTTTTTAAGTAACTGTTAATAGCTTAGTATATGGCGTGACAGTCGGATGCTGTCATACCTTTCAAGCACATCTAAATGCGATGTTCAGACTCATTAAGATGGAATTCTGAATTCTATGTCAGCCAACCCGAAACCTTTTGAAAATACCTATTCAACAAATGATCATGTAATGATTAACATACTCGATTCGAGACTTATAGAAAAACAATTTGTATTTCGTATCCGGATTGTAGCATAATAATGTTTAAATGAAATTATTTTCTACTAAACGTATGTCGTCCAAAACTGCGAACCGGCTACAAATTTGTTCTTCCATCTGTCCATGTATTTTTATGCACATTGCAGGTCGCATCTAGTCTTCAATTGAGACAAAACATTACACAGCAAGTTTTTAATCCTTTTGAAATTTGCGGTAGACAGTTATAATCTGGATATAGTTCGCATACATATCTTCGGCCGATTTTAAGTATATAATGGACCAAATTCTAAGATGCAAAACCATCAATCATCCATACATGAAACGGAATTGTAGGTCCAACCTCATTTAAAAAAAAAGATCCACTAACACCTTTCCTTTTTTCTTTTCCAAGCACCAGATGCAATTTTGTTTACGGTATCCATCATCGCCAGTTACGATGATTTCCACCGGGTCATTAACTGGAGGGCGTTTCTCCACAATAACTCTTGGGCATCAGGTGCTTGATGCATTTTCGTTTAGCGTAGCCGCATCACAAACATATCCCAATAGGTCGTGTAATGGTTTATATAAGATATATTGTGATTTAAAATTCAAAGAGAGTGAAATCACTACAGTGCAAACACACTAACTAACTTTAACTTATATAGGCCTTGGGTCGGGTATTGTGGTCCGACAAGATGCTTTTACTTACAGAGTTTTTTTTATCGTCTACTTTTCTTTCCAATTAAGCAATGAATTTTGAAAAATGCTACTTTTCTCGTCATCTCATATTAGCATCACTGTTCAAAATGTCTCCCTTTAATCTATTACGAGACAAATGTCAACAAATCATTTGCTTTGTTTAACTTGTTTAACGGTGCTCGCTTCGTCTTCGAACAGTTTTTCTTTGAAAACAATGTTAAAAAGTGAAAAAAATTGAAGATTTTTTAAAGTTTCCGTTGGTTTTTAGTTTTTATTTAACAATTGTAAATCGTTTTTCTTTTGTGCTGTGTTTGTTTTGAGTGTGTCATTTTCATTTCGGTTTTATTTTGCGTGAATGGCTTTTTGGCGGAAAATGTTTGATAGGCGGTAAGTCAGTAATGGCAATAAATGGTATTATTGAAAGTTTAATTATTTCTTGGTATTTATAGTTTAAAAATTTGCCTTTTTGCAGTCTAAATTGTTTAGATGCCATCAACTAAGGTCAATCTGTAGGAGCATTTAATAATTGGCATTCATAGACACGAGGATATTGATTTTCAATAAAAAGGTTTCCTTTCTAAGTTATTAATTACCATTCCATGTTAAGCTTAAACAATTGTTTTTTTTAATCATCAACGAATATTCAATGGGCGAGAAAAATGACTTCGAAATAACGGATGTATGGTTACCTGTCTTGCAGGAATTATCCAGCAACTTTCTTTTTAAAAATAAATCTCAGGGTGAAGTAGAGTTGCAAGTGAATGCAAGAAGATATTTGTCCGGACAGACTTTCCAAAATATCTACAAAAGAAATGTAAACATTCCTCTCTCGAATTGCTCTCTTAGTCTTGTACGTTCTGGAACAGGACACTGATTTCCATAAACAATTTGTAACAATTGTTACAAATTTTCGAGAAACAGTGTACACGAAATACCAATTTAGTTACCCTGGAACTGGACATTGATTTCCATAAACAATTTGTAACAATTGTTAAAAAATTTCGGGTAACCGGATATACGTAATACCATTTTAGTTACCCAGAAATACGAGAGAAAATTATATAAGAATAAGTTTCTATACCCTCCACCATCATTTCAAGTTCCTTCCAAATTGTGGAGGGTATTAAAATTTCGGCCCGGCAATCTTAGATGCTTTTTTACTCGTTTGTGTTTAAAAAAGTTGAATCAAAAAAAGAGTACACCTTCGATTATTTATTCTATTCTTTTTTCGTACAACTATGTAGCGCAATTTTTTAAAAAGGTAAAAAAAGTTTATTTCATTTTTTCGTGGACCAAGGATTTAACATCGGGTATAAATTTCGTCTTAAATCACAAATAATTTTATTTTGAAATTATACCACAGAATTTACTAGATTCTGAAGTATTATTGAAAAATCAAGTAAAAACTCATCGGTCGGCAAATCGACTCATGGCTCATGACAGTAGCTTGAATTTCCAATATTTGAAAAATTGTACTGAATTTATACCAAGTTTATATTTTTTTAGTAATACTACTAAGTAGAGGAGAATAGATATATATTTTTACTTAAGGCTACTTTCACTTATTTTGAATATACTTTACCAAGGACCAATAGAGATACAATCGTGGATTTTTGGAAAATATTTTAAACGGCGCATCAAAGTATTATCAGCGGATCTTTATTACCCTTTTTAAATGAAAAGATTAATTATTAATTAAGATTTTTAGGAACATCTTTTCGTGGCCTTAAATAGAGACAGATTCTGTCGTGAATTTTTTTGAGAACAATTTCGAAGCTATCATAATAGTGGATTTTTGAGAATAATTTATTTTGTTATACTATTAAAGCAAGGCATAAAAATTCGTTTTTTTTTAATTTTCCAGAAAAAAAAAAACATTGTGATCGCAAAGTCTAGAGCAATCAAACAACTGTATAACTGACTGAGTTCCGTTTTTACGACAATTGCGATCATTTATAATGTCATAGTATCACATAACCATAACAAACAACTCTCTATGATGATGCTTTAAACATCTGGTACACTGAAGTTGGGAGTTTAAGAAAAAAGAAATAATGACTAGAGCTGTCTAGCGCTGTAAGCAGTGTATGTGTGTGTAAGTAACAACAAATCTTGTTATCTGATCTGACTGTCTGTTCATTAAATAAGGAGTGAATCTCACGGTCTGGAAGGTCGTTTGTATTTACAGTTGAATTAAAAAAATGTAGTACTTTTGCATGTGAATTGTAATAACATTAGCATTGTTGCATGGTTTGCAAAAAGTGAGTTTTTTTTATAGTTAGAATTTGCAGAAAAACACAATTTTTTATTACGGAAGTAGGTGGAGGTCAATATCATTGTATTTAATTTGTTTTAATAATAAACTTAAGGTTGCTACTGTTTTAATTAATCTTTTTGAGCGAAATCTCATAAATTAAAGTTGGTCTGACTCCGACTTAGCAGACCATATCTACATGGAGTCTGAGACTCTGTAATTATCTACTTGATCGTTTTTTCATTACGTTTTCTGTAGTATCTAGAACATTTTAGCTAAAAAATATTCATGAGGTATATGGCTTAGCTATTCATAAATTGTGAGCTAAGGGCCCCTATGCTGAAACAGTAGGCAAGGATTTAAGCCGTTTGTAACTCTTCGAAATAAAAATTTTAGGCCCCACAAAGTATTTACATTTTGATCAGCATTAATTTCTGTGACAATTTAGCCATGTCTGTGAAAATCTATCTAGCTTCCGAACGAAATGAGGTATGTTGATAAAATTGTACTCAGATGTATATTGGGCTCATATAATTTTTATACCCTCCACCATTCTATGGAGGGTATATTAACTTTGTCATTCCATTTGGAACACCTATTCAGGTCCACGTCTTCGTATAGTCCCCATATAACGGATTTAATTTTTTCGGATTTTTTTTTTTAATTTGTTCAAGTTGCTTTCAAAAGGTGTAGGGTATTAAAAGTTCGGCCCGGCCGAACTTTGCTGTTTTTTACTTGTTGATATTTAAAACGTGAACAAACCTATTGGTTTAGCCACCATACAACTAACTGCCAGATTAAAGGTCTTTTCTCTTTGTATTTTAGTTAGAGTGTGTTGTTGGTGGTTGGTCTGTGATATAGAGGTGGATTTGGAAATGTGAAAAAGTACGAAATATTACTATATTTGGTATTGGGCGAAAGGGATAGAGATAAAATTCTGAAATTTGATATTTAGGTTACAGATGCTATCTGTGTTTGAGATTTGGCGGTGTTATTGGAAATGTGTACTATAATTGTACGAAAAGTACTAAATAGTACTCAAGTTGGTATAAATAAAGAACAAATTGCCCATTTTCGGTACAAAAATAAACTAGTGGTACGATTCTATAGTTTGAAGCTGGACTTTTTGCTGACGAAGCAGTGGACGCTTACTAGGCTTTTATATAATTGTATCTCCCAACATTTGGAGTATTTTAGATGCATTTTCCATTAATTAAAAATTGGTATTTGGAGTTCACAATAAGTCACTGCCTTTTCTGGCAGATAATTGCTTACCAAGGTCCAAGTTTTCGTATGGCCCTACATAGTCTATATGAGAAATTTTAGTATTTTTTAGCAACATTATCTAACTTTTCATTTTTTATATTTTAAAATAGGTATATGGAGTTTACACCACCCTCTTTGGCAGATAATTGGCTATATGAGTCCAAATTTTCGTATAGCCCTTATATTACTGTACCAAACCATATTCGATATTTTGATGATTTAAATTTGGTATTTGGAGTTAGTAATGGAAACCACCTGTAATCTATTGGGTCCATGTCTTCGTAAATCCCCCTATAATGGAACCTCTCGAAATTCGGTATTTTGACTACATTAGCCGTAAAAGATTGATTTCAAAGATGTTTGGTGTGAAGGTGGTATATAACAGACCACTCTTACTATCTCCGACACAAAGGATTTTCTACAAAAAAAAAAAAAAAAAAAAATGCCTCAGATTCTCTGGGGCGTAATTTTTTATATTTTAAAATAGGTATATAGAGTTTACACCACCCTCTTTGGCAGATAATTGGCTATATGAGTCCAAATTTTCGTATAGCCCTTATATTACTGTACCAAACCATATTCGATATTTTGATGATTTAAATTTGGTATTTGGAGTTAGTAATGGAAACCACCTGTAATCTATTGGGTCCATGTCTTCGTAAATCCCCCTATAATGGAACCTCTCGAAATTCGGTATTTTGACTACATTAGCCGTAAAAGATTGATTTCAAAGATGTTTGGTGTGAAGGTGGTATATAACAGACCACTCTTACTATCTCCGACACAAAGGATTTTCTACAAAAAAAAAAAAAAAAAAAATGCCTCAGATTCTCTGGGGCGTAATTTTTTATATTTTAAAATAGGTATATAGAGTTTACACCACCCTCTTTGGCAGATAATTGGCTATATGAGTCCAAATTTTCGTATAGCCCTTATATTACTGTACCAAACCATATTCGATATTTTGATGATTTAAATTTGGTATTTGGAGTTAGTAATGGAAACCACCTGTAATCTATTGGGTCCATGTCTTCGTAAATCCCCCTATAATGGAACCTCTCGAAATTCGGTATTTTGACTACATTAGCCGTAAAAGATTGATTTCAAAGATGTTTGGTGTGAAGGTGGTATATAGCAGACCACTCTTACTATCTCCGACACAAAGGATTTTCTACAAAAAAAAAAAAAAAAAAAAAAAAAATGCCTCAGATTCTCTGGGGCGTAATTTTTTACGTTGAGAAAAAAACACCTCAGTTTTTATGTGAAAACCAAGTGATATTTTTTCTTACATGTTGTGTTTCTAGTTCTAAATTTTTAAATCTGAATTAATCCCGATATGAATGTTCCAATGATTAAGGGTCTGCCAACTTTTTGTTCGTATTCAGAAAAGTGCGATTATCATTTCTTGACATTATTATTATTCGTTGTTCCAAGTGCTCTGCCTTGATGTGATGGATCATTTTTCTCGATTGTCCCACTTTATTGTCTGTATAAAAAAATTCCCACTTCTTCCAATATTTTTATATAAGATTCGGAAATGTTGACAATTTTGGTTCAGTTTTTTCTTGTCGCATGTCACACAATTTTACCTTAATTATACCGGAATAATTTTAATTGGTTTCCCAACACACTAATCCATTGTCTTCGAAGTCAGGGTCCAAGTAATAACAAAAAGTTTCAAGTATTTCTTAACAACTGTTGCAGCGATGAGAAAATGAAAATGAAAAAAAGAAACGGCAACTTTTATGCAAATACTTCCTACTCTTATTTGCCAAGAGGAAAAATGAGTCAGCTTATCATTGGCAACTGACATTGTTGATGGCGACAGCAGCAGTATCACCAGTGTCTGGCTACCTTCCTATACATGTCTCGGTATTTCTGTTGTCTCAGACAAACAAACATTTCGGAATGGATGCTTCCAATATCTTCTTGATTTGCCAGTTTTTGCAAATCACCATCATCATCATCACCACCACCACCGCTATTATCTTCTTCATGCAAATGCTTTAATTATTGCAACAATTGAAAAAAGCGGAAAACAATAAAATATAACGAAATAAAACTCAACCTTCTCAACTGCAACAAGCATTTACAACTCCATTGTCTATTGGAAAATGTCTAAGAACGATGGTGCGGAATACAAACTACAGCCACAAAATGCAAATGTAATTTGTGGTACCAGAACGAACAGCTTGTTTCCAGCTTGCGAGTAGCACAACAAAGCAATGCAAAGCTTCTTAATCAATTTGATGTGGTGGTTTGCTTAAATTTTGATTTCACCCAACATGAATGACGGCGATGATGTTAACAGTTTTTGTTTATACTTTCAACCACACTTTGGAGGGTATATTAAGTTTGTCATTCCATTTGTTACTTCTCGAAATAAGCATTTAAGACTCCACGGTACACATTTTCATGATCTGAATAAGATTCACTCGAGCTTCCGAACGAAATGAAGTAGGTAGATCATCTTTCACTTAAGTTTATTTTAGGTCCTTAAAATTTTCATATGGGTTCCCCCATATAAAGGTACCAACCGATTTAAGGTATTTTGTGTGGGTTAGTCACATTTGTACACTGAATTTTGCTGTAACTGACAGTTTGCGCACTCAGCATGTAGAAAACATCCTTGTGGAGAACTGTATATATAGGTCCACGTTTTGGTGTAGACCCCATATAACTGTCCCTCCCGATATTCAGTATTCTGATGATTCAAACGACATTGTTCGAGGAAATTATCTAAAAGTTATTATCTACTTAGCATCACATTTTTGTATAGGCCACATATAAGGGGTTGGTAGTAGTTATACCCTACACCACAAGGTGGTCAGGGTATTATGTATTTGTGCATTTGTTTGTAACAGGCAAAAGGAAACGAGATAGACCCATAGTTCCTTTTGATGATCTGCATAGAATCACTTTCTGAGTTGATTTATGCATGTCAGTCCGTCTGTCCGTCCGTCCGTCTGTCCATGTATTCTTGTGAACAAAATGCAGGTCGCATTTATTATCCGATTGAGATGAAATTTTGCAAACAACATTTGTTTGGCCCAAGGACGAACCCTATTGAAATTGGAGATAATCGGTAAAAATTTAGATACACCAAACGTGTAATATCAGCCCGAATAGTATGGAATTTTGCACATACAACCAAATTAGGCCTGAAAATAAGTATGTATCGGTCCAGATATAGCTATAGCTCCCATAGATATTGTTCATCCGATTTGTTATTTTTGTCCTCCGCAGCCGTAATATGCACTCTGTAACAACAATATTTGGGGAAATATTTCAAATACAGCTCAGAAATACCTTTGCTAAATTTTATCGAAATCGGTTCAGATTTGGATATAGCTCCCATATATAACTTCGTCCGATTTACCATTTATTGTGCACCAAACGTCTAATATTTGTCCAAATGGGATGGAATTTGGCACATACGAACGAATTTAGTCTAGAAGGTAGTATGCCAAATAAATATCTTTGCCAAATTTTATCGAGATCGGTTCAGATATAGCTATAGCTCCCATATATATTGTTCATCCGATTTGTTATTTTTGTCCTCCGCAGCCGCAATA